AGATTTTGGAGTTGGAAGAAATTATGACCCACCTCTATATTATTTTAATTAAGAAATTTATAATTTATATCAATATATTTTATTAAATTTTTAATTTTAATTATTATAACTGTAAAGATTAATTTTCAATCAAACTTTATGTTTAAATATTATAAATACATCATTTAATATAAACAAAAACATAAAATAAATACCCGCCCGGTCGGGCGGGTCAAGGTCTAGTTACAAAGTTAAATAGTAGAGAAGAGTAAATAAGTGTATTTTATTTGGTTAAAAATATTTAATGAATTATTTATTTATATTTTACAATATATTTGATTTAATATAAGATGAAAATAAATAATTAATTTTAGTCATTGTGTTATCACCATTAAATCAAAATCGCAATTTGACCAAAAAATAATATTTAAAATATAGATATATAATTGGACGATATTAAAACCCGAAACAACCAATCCAAAACAAACTAATATGCAAATAAAACAGGTATAATGTCTTCTTATCTTCAAAAATATAACAAATTTAATCATCTCATCCCACGCAAGACGCGGATCTAATCCTAGTATATATACAAGTGCGGAAACACAATCTAATTTCTTTTGCCAACATATGTTTCTTTTGACAAATTAATCTGGCGTTAATACAATCTAATTTCTTTTGGCAAAAATTATCTTTTCAGTTGTATAGATCAACAATATCCGGTTTAAAGTATAGTTTTTTCAGATATTCGGAAATCAGATATCAGGGTGGCTGTCAATTGTTATAAAAAAAAAAATGACTGTGAATCGAAGACAAATAAAACTGGCGTTAACGTTCGAACTACTTCCTCTATAATTCCAATCCTGTTCTGTCTTTAAGCAAAAGAACACTCACAAGGTCACAATAGAATGCAGTAAAACTGTCACAAACTTTTTCAAACAGAAGTTCTAAGTATATCACTTACTTCCTTTAAGTCACACAGACATGAAATTTTAACAATACCACAATGAAGGAAACGTGTTGCTTACCTCATTCATTTTGATATCATGATGGGATGCTCTCCGTTCGATAAATGGCCAGTCGAAAAAATCACCGTTATAAGTAACATAAATACCGGGTTTAACCTCTTGCATATGGGAAAACCATTTTCGAAGGAGTTCAACCTACAATACAAAACCAAGAAAGAGGTTTGATTCTAAGTACATCAGTGTTTCAGATATAATTACTCAAATCCAGACCTAATTTACCTCGTTGATAACGTTAGTGACTTTGAAATATCCTTCAAACTCTGGTTTGGGGGTATACTCCAGATCTTCTATGTCTTCGCCAACATACTGGTTTAAAATGAAAAATACTACGTGTGTAATCAAACAAGATTGAAGTAGTCCAAATTTTTATAGGAAAATAGAGCTGAGAAATCAACCAGAGTTGAAATTTTTATAACAAATCAGGAATCATGTTCTATAAACATACAGAAAATGCTACAGTAGACCACAAACAATCTTTATGCCACATCATACAAAATCAGTCAAGATAAGCAGTATAAGTTTATATGGATCATTTATGATACCCCCAGGATTGACTTAATCTTTAAAGAAACACTGCCTATAAGAGCTTTTCCTCTACTGGTTGCTCGACATAGATGATAAAGCAGAGCTATCATCTCTTTTAATGATTTGGAGATTATGCTCATCATGCATGATATTATCATCTGTTAAACCATATTAAATATAGAAAAATGTACATAGTATTTACCTCTCCGTTAACAATTAGAAAACCTTGCCCATCGACCATGTTAGATACCATCATAATTTGATCATATTCAGCATCCGGAAACTTCAACTCAAGCTTTGCTGTCTCTATATCGAATGCACAAACACGGACTTCTGCGCGCTGGAGAATATCTGTCCTGTTCTCTAGTGTGATATCAGTGCTGGAAATACTGATATTGTACCATTGCCCACTTCGCACATCTAGACACCACGAAAACGTCATGTTTTGACAATCTTTAGGACTAACAGACATTTAACTTTGACTAAATATGTTACCTTTATCAACTGCAAATCGAACATGATAAGGAACATCGTACTCGCGGAGGTCCAGAGTCTAAGCAATCTTGAAGACGCTGTTCTCTGCATTCCAAGAAAGAAAAGAAAAGTGACCACCGGTATCTAAAACTTGAGAATAACTAAGAAACAAGAGAGATCATAAGGAACAATTTGAAACAACATTATGTGTGGAACTATATTAGTGCTCAAGTTTTAAGCTGGGTAGTGCAAGTTGTTAATAACAACATTTTGCTGATTTTAGTTACTTGTGCGAAGAATGGTAGGAGAGGCATACGGAAACATCAGATGATATTTCTTCCAGATTCATGAATTTGCGGTTTATCTCACTTGAGGTCTGGCCTCTAGTCTTTAAATATTTCGCCTCTAGTCCCTTTTATACGTACTCCGTCTCTTACGAAACATCTTTTTCCTGTTCCTTATATAATATATATGTTTGCAGCTTGTTAATATATACGTACTCCGTCTCTTACGAAACATCTTTTTCCTGTTCCTGTTAATGATTTCTGACTTGCTCTTTGTATTTCAGCTGCCACAGCAGGAAAACTCATATGACTGTGGCCTCTTTCTGCTGCACAATCTGGAGCTATTTCTTCCTGAAAGAGGCAGCCATCTCTTCTTGCCTCTTCAATGCTTTAAAGCACTCTACTTCTGTTCCACCAATCTCAATTTGCTTCAGACTCGCCTCTATTTGGCTCCACACGGTCTCTGCCCTTTTCTGTCAAGTGAAAAAAATACTACATCATTAAACATGACACTAAACTAAAAAGTGATTCAACCATTCGGTTTCAGAATTAAGTTAAAGGCAATGTGGACTGTAGTTATACCTCATGGCCCTTTGTATAAGTTTTATACTTTTCCTTTATGTGTTCTGCCTTCTTCTCATCCTCCTCCATCTTTCTCTTCGCATTCTCCATCTCCACTTGCAACGCTGCAACTTTCTCTGCCTTCACGGCAAGACTTGACGGCCCGTAAGCATTTCAAGTGGGGTAGTACATGATATCCATCACGCAATCGTCGTGAGCTACTACAAACTCGTCAAACGTCTTGCTCTCGTTACCCATTGCCACGTAAAGATATTGTGCCTCCTCCTTTATCATTTTGTCAGCCTATCAGAAATAACACAGAAAATTTACATTACGAATCCACTATCTTATACCAGATTAAAGATGTTGCTTCAAACCAAGGGCAGATGTACATTCATGTGCATAATATCTATCTAGTACCCGGATCCATCCGTATCTAAGGAATTAACTAAACAGATTGTAAGAATCGAGTTCGAAACCTACGCTCGTAACCAAATTGAGTTCATTATAGGTGCGACGGAAACTTACTGATGCGAATGTGAAAAGACGTTTATCAACTGCACTTGTTTAAATTTCAGATGATATTTCTCGCTGTGACGTTTCACTAATTACGGTTCTTATGCTCCTTTGTACTTTTGGGAAAATATGTCAAATTACTTAAATAAGAATTTTTAACATATTTGATATTTCGCAAATGATGTATTCTAAGTGCAGTTTGGCTGCAATTAAACGATCACATTTGTACATAATTCCAAAACCATAAATGTTGGTTTAGTTTCCTGTCAAACCACTAATAGTCCGAGTTATTTTATATCCCGTGTATTCTAATTATATTATTATTTTGATGGATGGCAACGAGACTTTTTAGCATATTTTTCTTTTCTAAATCTTAATATTATTTTAATTGATTCTCTTGCACATGGTTATTTATATACAAGATTGTTTTTTTATTTAGTAAAAATTTATCCACGATCCTAGAGCTCCTTTGGTCAGTTTGTGATTTTAATTCAATAAACAACTACTAAAACTTTTGATTTTACTACTGAAAGACAGGAAGCCAATGTGTGAAAGAAACTGTTTATCTCAGTTTTCTAATTAGAGATGAACAAACAAATTCTAGTTTCGAGCAAATTTGACAACGTGCATTAGACATTATCGGATAAGAAACAGAGTTTATACGACAATACCTCTTCAAGCATCACGCTTGCGCTTGTTGTTGACTTTCTCCTTGGGGTTTCCTGGGCAAGCGATGTTGATTTTTTGCTTGGGGAGTCTCGGGCATACGAAATCAGAGAGGAGGTTCATTGAATCACCAGGTCTTACGTGTTCGCCATCAACTTCATCGCACCTCAACACCGAATAGAACACGCTTAAAGAGACCCTAAAGTACCCTTTGTCACCCACACCAGTGCCGTTACTGGACTTACAGATGGCCACAGCCTCGCCGTTAATCCATATAACTCGAATTATGATGACGGAGTGATAGCCTTGAATTATTGAACCCGGAAACAATGGACCCCTGTACACTTTCGTAGACTTATCCCAGAGCTCGTTACAAAGGATTATATCAGCACCAATAGGTTGATTGGGAAGGTGGGCTAAGGCACTGCGAAGATCCGAGAATTTCTGTACAGAATCGATCTTGTACTTCACATCTCCAAGTGTGGTAGGTCTTTTTCTGCAGTCATAAACGCGCCTTACTTCCCTTGGTATTCCAGTGTCTACCATATGTTCAAGAGCATCCTCCATAAGGTATTCATAGCAGTGATGTCCAACATTATCAAGATCCTCGAGAAGCAGATCGGGTTCTGCGCACTCACACAGGTACCAAGGGCAGAAGGCCTTGTACTTTTTATCATCCTCATTGATCACTCTCGCTGCACTATGAAGATCCGACGAGGCATAGGCCCAGCACAGCCTATGCTCTCTTTGATTTCTTATCCTACCTCCTTCTATTTCCCAATCACATTTCGCCAACTCAGGAGAGGTGTCTGGGTTCTCACCATTCCAAACCAAAACAAGAACACTCATGCCATCGTAATTGAGATGCAGAGTATAACCTGACTCAGTGGCTTGTCTGGCCTGTTCAAATTGTTCAGCAGAGCAGAGGGGTCGCAGCTGTTCAAGGGTGATAGGGCACACCTTCTGAGCATTCAAAGCAGCCAAAATGTCACTCGGTAGGTGTTCTCTCAACAAAGTTTTTACATCAACCTACAAAACATTAAAGAAGGTTATGTAGAGAAGCAAACAAACCTCGTAGAGAAGCAATCGAATATTAATTTAATTTATATGGAATATTAATTAACAAAACTAATTATATGGAATATTAATCAATTTAATTTATTAAACTGTTCAATCAAGCTTTTTTGTAGAGAAGAGAACAAACCATATCTCGCGAAGACCTGCGAAGAAGAAGGATTCCACGAAACTTAGAACTCACCGAAGATGGAAAGCGGGGACGATCGAGACTGCAAGGACCTGAATAAGAAGATTCCACGAAAATTATACACAGTGAATCACAGCAACTCACGCCTCACATAAGAAGAGATTATAACTTCACCTTCACCGGAGACGGCGACGATCGCGGCAACTCAGAGAAAGGTATCGAGAATGCAAGGACCTGAAGATTCCACGAAAATTATACACAGTGAATCACAGCAACTCACGCCTCACATAAGAAGAGATTAGAATTTCACCTTCACCGGAGACGGCGACGATCGCGGCAACTCAGAGAAAGGTATCGAGAATGCAAGGACCTGAAGAAGAGATTCCACGAAAATTATACGCAGTGGATCACAGCAACTCACGCCTCACATAAGAAGAGATTATAACTTCACCTTCACCGGAGACGGCGACGATCGCGGCAACTCAGAGAAAGAAAGACTAATCCTAACCGTCAGTCAAAACCCTTTTCCTCGAGGGCACAGGTTTACGGAGCTATCTGATTGGCTAGTTTTCATTTTTTTCTAATTGCAAATTCCACGTCAATGATCCGTCTCTATTAGTCGACGACGGTGTAACAGCCGTCAGATCATATAATCGACGATTGTAATGAAACGAACGCGGATCACTACATATGAAGACCAGATAGAGCCAATGAGTAGTTGAATACAAAAATAACTCGGATTGCTGACATGGCAAAAAGAGGATTTGAAATCCCGCCTATTTTTAGATTTGGTTTGCGAAATTAAATTTGACAAAAGATATTTTGGCAACACCCACTTAACCCTCGCATCACAAGGCGTACAAATCACAAATCATAGGCGTACTTAGGTTTGATATTATCTGGAAAATATTTTGTTAACAAAGGATGAAATAGAAGTGAAGATTTCAAGGATTAAATATAATTTATTAAATAGATAATACATTGAGATCTGTTGTTCAAGCATAATACATAAATATATAATATATAATATTCTCTGAATGTTCTGAGTTAATAAATGTTCTGGACCGGGCCTGCATACTGCGTGATACTTCGCATGCCCTATGACATGGTATGATATTTGCATGTAATAACATCCCAAAACACTTTATAATCACCAAATCCGATTGCATTAGAATAGGAATCTTTAGCTGAAATGACTCTCAAAATAAATTTTAATAAAAAGAAAAATCGAATAAAACAAAATTTGGTTCCGCAAAGAAAAAGAAAACTTAATAGAAACGAGTGGAGAAGAGACAACACAACACTCTGGACCTACCCATGTGGTACGGTTAGCTTAGTGGATAAATATCTCATCAATGACTCTTGAGGTGTTCTTATGGGTAATTCGTGGCGACTCGTAATTCAATAGTACATGTTAATACGACTACTTTGTCCGATTACAATACACTAGTTGTTTTAATATTTAACTAGATTATGATCCGCGTTTGGAAAGCACAGGTGTTTCTTTGGATTGTAAACAAAATTTGTGAATTAGTATTCTAAAATTATTGTATATTATTATGCCACAAAGTTATATAACCGAAATCGACTCAAAAATATAGGTGCGATTGGGTTTAGATCTAGGCAAGTACATATTAGATTTTTTTGTTCTAGCCTTTGGGTCGGTGTTTGAGTCCGGATCCTACCCAAAACCCAATCGGCTAACCAAAGTACTTGAATTTTTTGTGAGGTATATTTGATTTTTTTCAGATAATTTTCGGTATTACACTTTTTTTTTAGTTTTGGTTCTCGTTTTCGATTATAGTTTCAGATGTCGGGTGAAATTCCAAAATGCTGAAAATATACTTTGGGTATTTAGAATATATTGTTTTGTTTTTGCTGTTTTCGGTTCATCATGTTAGATTGCAGATAAATTTTTGATATTTATTTGAATATTGTTGGGTATTTATTTGGGATTTCTGGTATTTTAAAGTTTCAGTATATTTTTGAATTTTCGGCAACTTTGATTATTTTTTGTGTATTAAATACCCCAAAATTATAGGTATTCGAGTTATGGATCCACTCCGATTTAATCCTAAAAACTGACCTGAAAACAAACCTAAAATTTTCAAATATCTAGTAATGTTCAAAGGTCTAGGACCCGCTGAACTCATAACCGAAAGGTAACGATACATACCTGACACCGATAACCGAATACCTAAACCTACTCTTTCTTTTTATTGTTTTTGTACATAAAATAAGAACTACGTTTGTTAACCTGCTGACACTTAAGATTTACTTGACAGATTTTTGGTTAATTTAATAATATAGATTTGTAAGATTTAATAGTTTTAAAAATTTTATTTTAAATGAAAAAATTACTCTTATTTTTTAGTAAAAATAATTTAACGTAAAATATATAATTTTATTTTTAACAGATGGTTTTCTAAAGTGTTCTTATTAAATTTGATTTTATGAATATGTGAAACTATGTAATGTAAGATGACAAAATATAATATGTTATATATGCTAATTTGTAAATAAGTTTTGAAATATATTAAAGTTATAAAGTTAGTGGATTAATAGCATATCTATAGTATATTCTTTTTTATTGTTTATGATATTTTGTAGCTATATATGTTATATCTTGGTTATTAAATATAAGGTCAAAATATAAGAAAGAATGGTAAAATGGTAATTATGTTTTTGTCTTCCTCGTTCATTTTTTTTAGGTTTAAACATTTTTGCAGACAGATTCATCGTGAAGTTCTTCAACCCAACCTCTCATTCTACTGCTTGAAATAAATTGTAAACGGCATAATTTGATAATCCATTGGCCAGAGCTACATCGGGTGTAATTTTCAGATTAGACTGACTTAGTTTTGAGTTATTACTCATTGCTTTTTCCATATCTACGGCCAACACGGAAGAACCGTTACACTGGATTAAGCTCCAGATCAGCTTCTCTTAACCACGGTAGATCTCCAATCACCTTGTTAACGTGTAATTAATCAGCAAACAGGCACCTTTTAGAACTTGTAACAAACGCATGTACATATTTGAAAGGCTAATAAACAATTGTAAGTCATATTAAAATGTTTGATGTTAGATGATTTTATTTTGTTGCTATATAATAGGGGTTAGTTATAATATTTGATTATATGTATAGGTTAGATTAAAAATGAAAGGGTCCAAACAACTTATTTAAGTAGATTTTTTAAAACTCCTTCTCTTTTAATAGTATAGATTCTTACATTCAGAATGTACAATTTAATACCTTACATACTGTTAAACTAAAGTAGAAAAAAATCTTAATAATCTTCGGTTCAACGAAATGTTACACCCTAATTTTCAATGCTATGATGAAAATTAAAACTAAATTCAACAAACATATCTAATAGAGTTTAGCAGAACACCAGTACACAACATTAATGCTCAAGTTAAAACATATGAAAGAAGAGATAATCAAACTTAAACTATTGAAACCAACCTAATAACTTCTCTTGAAACTTGTCAGGGTATTATAATAATAAACTCATCATTTTAGCCGATTCATAACTGCGACAAATTTTGCAGAAACAAATATCATGTAACTAAGTAAGATTATTGGTGGTCTTTGCTCTTAGATCCTTAATACACAAATATATACACATACATATATGTGTATTAAGGTCCTTGCTCTTAGGTCCTTAATACACAAATATATACCACCAATAATCTTGCTTAGAAACAAAATCATGGACGAGTACCACAAATAATTTGTGTCGTTGTGGAAGTGTCTTTTGAAGATGCGTCAAAGCCAAATGCAAAGTTAGAAGCGGGGACCCATTAACGACTTGCGATCAGCAACTTGACAGATCACGTCATGTGGTCGACAGAAGAATCAACTACGTGGTGGTTGATAAGCTATCTTTCTTAAGTATCTTCCTTTGGATAGTAGCGTTTGCGTATAATATATTTTTCTTTGTCGAATCTATGTATGGGACAGGCAACTAATAGATATAGAGATGTTTGAAAACTTGGACTTCCTTTAATCTGACGTAACAAATGTTAGGACAAAAATGACTTAGATACGTGGTCAGAATTGTTACGTTACCGTACATTTTTACGTACATGAGAGACGTGGATGAGTGAAAAAGCTGATCTCACTTTTTGTTTTGTTTTCATTCTTTTTGAGATAAAATTAAAGTGGACACAAATTTAAATCGGTGGAGTCTTAGTGAAAAAGTTTGGGAGCTCAAAAAGCAAGTTAGTTAGAGCATCATTAACGCTGGTTCTTAAATGAACTCTTAAGCCCAAAATTCAATAAAAAAAAAAAAATTTGCTAAGAGGTGGATTCAGAAAACCCTACGGGAAGAGGTGCCTCTTGCGTCGTATTGTTGTCTCTCTCTCTCTATCTCATCTTCTCTCTCTTCCTTTCCCGCAGAGAATTCGTAAAAGGGTTCAAGCTGTTCGTCGTGCTGCTGATGGAAGCGCTTTCGACAAATGATAGTGATCTCTCAAAGTTATCGATTTTGAGTTCTCATAAGGTGGATTCGTGATACTCTGTTTTGGGATTTGATTACAGTGAAGAATGTGGTGTTATGATAGCAATTGCTCTGTTTGTATTGCACGAGTGCGGAGAGAAAAGAAAGGAAGTGAAGAGGTTTAAGTCCATTTCGAGTGACAGAATCGATAGTAAACCCGTTGGGAGCTTTGAAGATGAGCCCAGATCACCTTTCGTCTTCTTCCTGTACTGTAACCATAACCTTCCTCTGTTTCTTGACATGTTTGCGTTAAAAACTCAAACTTTATATTTTCATCTAGAGAGGATTTTAGGGAAAGCTACTGTGGGAACATGGTGGATGCTAGTAGAATATGTTTCACTGTGTGGAAGAACATGTCACGAGAGGTATATGTTTCTTCAGTATATATCAAAAGGCTTAAACTTTCCTTCCAAAAAAAAAGGAATGAGAGCTCGTGAGGTCTATATGTAATCTGGCTCAGTGATTTAGTAGAAGGATATGTTAGTATTATATGTAGATGAAGTGACAATGTACATCTAGAGAAGTAGCTCTTTTCTTTAACATAAGTTTTTAGCGGTTAGATGTTCACTTTGGATCCCAAAAGCTAAGGATGATCAAGTTTCATGGAATGTGACAATACTTGTTAGATAACAGTTTTGAGTGAGTCGCAGATATAGTATGATACATTCATTGAAGTTGCTAAGTTTTCTCATTTACATGAATATGTTGAATTGGGTTTTATCTTTTGGCTTATATATTGTTGTTTTTTCTCTGTTCGATCCCATGGAAAACAGAGATTCTATGGCTTTGAAATTTGCTTGTCTGCAGGATTGACATGTCCAGGAATGTGTCTCCGAGTTCATCAGCTTCATCACCAGCGAGCATGTCTTTCTTATCGAACATGGAGCTTTAGATTTTCAAAAAGTTTGAACCTTTATGGGTGAATTTGAGTCCACTTGTGTAGTTAACTTTGCGGTTTGGTGGGTTGATTGAAAGGTTAAGGTCTTTTTGATCCTGTTCGTGTTCTAATTCTCTGTAGTTTAGGGCTTTTACTGAGAAAATGTTTTGGGTGATGCAAATCTTCGATAGTTTTTAGGGAAGTATCAACTTTATTGAATGTAATCTGTATATAATCTGTAACATGTCCAGGAACCGATGAGAATATTCTAGCCAAGGCTGCAGCTATATATATACGGTGATACTCGGATGTTGAGAAGGAACAAGAAGACTTTAACAAGCTTTTGTCCTTTCAGGTTTGTTTGCTTCAAAATTTCTCATTTTTTTATCTAAAAACTTACATTAGAACTAAAAACGTTTTCTTTGGTTTTATGACTAGTCTTAAATATTCATTAGAGATCCCTCAAATGTTGGTATCGACATCAATAGCTTGAACGAGCAACGAGTCATCAGCTCACTCAGATAGGTCGTGGAGATGGACATGTATTTGACGACCACTGATGATGTTGTCCGAGCACGAGGTACACTTCTATTCTCTTTCAGTTGCTAGTCATGTAAAGCAGTGTCTAGGAGATAGCTTAAAGAACGAGAAAATCAGTAGCTTGACGGTTTGGTTAGCTGACTTGTTGAGTCCAATGTTTATCTTCTCATCACAATGTTTCATAATTTTGTTTTTTAAGATAGCCTAAGTTTATCTTCTCATCACAATGTTTATCTTCTCATCACAATGTTTCATAATTTTTTTTTTAAGAACCCAAAATTAAGAACCTACCATTGGAGCTCAAAAATTAAGTGTCTCTTAACCTAAACCTCTTAACCATCATTAATTATTAAAAAATCATTAAGAGTTCAAATTTGGTTCTTAGGGTTAATGATGCTCTTAGATCTATAGAAAATATGCCATGTCAATAAGAAAACAAACACATGAAATCGTGTTAATCTGTGGGTTGGTATAATTTAATTCCATTGGTTACTGTATTTTAATAAATTTTAATATTAAAGTAAATTATGTTTCTGAAATCTTATGTTATTCAGTCAATGGAATATAAGTACTAATTAATTTTAGGGTTTTTAGTAATAAAACTCCTCAACTAAAGATGAATCATAAAAAAATCTTCAACTAAAAATTTAGTGAAATAAACCCTCAACTTTAGTTTCGTTAATGTTTGTCACCCTCCGTCACGAAATTTTAGATCGACGGAGAGTGACATACCTTAACATAACTAAAGTTGAGGGTTTATTTCACTAAATCTTTAATTGAGGGATTTTATTACTAAATGTGGTTAACTATTTTAAAATCTTTATTATCATTAATTCATTATTTAAGAATCTTAAAATTGATTTATAAAAATTGAAAATAATTTATATTTTTCATATATTAATTTATCAATTTTATAACCTATTTATGAAGTTTTCTCATTTAATACTTTTTATAAATTATTATTAAGGTTTACTGATGATTTTATAAGATTAAAGATGTGATTATTCTTCGTACTACAAAAACATGAAGTAAATAAATAAACAAGAAAAGCTTATTGATAAATATGCTAGGAGTATAACATATTAGTTCAGAAGTTAAAACGAAGAAAAATAATGCTACATTATTTCTTTTGAAATAGAAAAAAGTACGAATCAAATTAAAATTGTTGAAAGGGGAGAAAAAAGCTTTTGCCGTAATTTAAGTAACAATGTTGAATTTCTAAACTAATTGAATATCCTCAACACTACTTACAACTTTATATAACTTAAAAATCTTAATTATTTAATATGTGATAGTATTAATATCAGAATATTGTATGTGTTTCCTCCTTTATAAAGTTTTATCGCTTTACTTTGTAATATCAAGAAAATCATGTATTATTTCACTATAAGAAATAGCAGACAAAAGCTTATAAAATCATCGTTAAACCTTATTAATAGTTTATAAAAATATTAAAATATTTACTAAGCTTTATAAATAGGTTAGAATTGATAAAGTAATATATAAAAAATATAAATTATTTTTAATGTTTATAAATCAATTGTAAGATTACTAAATAATAAATAAATGATAACAAAGATTTTCAAATATTATTTAACCGCATTTAGTAATAAAACCCCTCAAGTAAAGATGGATCGTAACAGAAACCCTCAACTAAAGATTTAGTGAAATAAACCCTCAACTTTAGTTATGTTAACGTATGTCACCCTCCGTCTAAAATTTCGTGATAATTCAGTAAAAACCTTCAACTTTAATCTTTAGTTGAGAGCTTTTTTTATGATACATCTTTAGTTGAGGGGTTTTATTACTAAAAACCCTTAATTTTAGTATAATTCAGTTCAAAATATTTATTTAAATTTAATTTTAGAGTGATTTAGACAAAAAAAAACATATTAAAAATATGAAACATAAGTTTGTATGAAAACCCATAAATTATTTTCAGAGATTTATAAATCTATATAAGTTATCGAATCAGTTAAAGATGATACTCTTTAAGATAATCACCAAACAAAACAGAGCAATATAATTTGGTTTGTATATCTCAAGGTAATTTAAATTTGCTAAGAAATAGTATCATTTTTCAAAAAAAGAAAAAGAAAGAAAAGGTACCATTTATCACATTCTCTTCATTATCGTCGAATGTGTGAATTTTAGATTATAGAGAAGTATTCAAATAATAAAAATGAACATAGCAACTTGGTTTATTCATAAAGCAACAAAAAAAAGAGTACAACTCTGCTTTATCACATCCTTTTACACACCCCAGAAGGAAAAAAAAACCCCGAAAAAGGCGGAAAAGATAGTTATACTCTACACTAACGTCTACCCTAAAGACTTATCAGCATTGCAAAGGCCAAAATTCACAGAAAGGAAAAGAAAACAAAAAAGCTCAATAGCCAAACAAGAAGTCATCCAACTCGGCACCAAGCTCTTTTATTTAGAGCCTTTTTTTGTTCTTCCAGAAGAGTCTTCTGTGCAGGGCGAAGTTTACACAACCAAACCCAAATTTACATGCCAAATTTAGACCAAGAAAGGACGATAAGCACTACTACTGATGCTTACTCTTTTATTACTACTCCGTTACTACTTTTATTTATTCTCCTCGTTTCACTTATTATATATCCGAATCTCTCTTCAAAACACACATTCTTTTATGAATCTCTCCTCTCCTTCTCCTGCTCTTTGAATCCATGGGTGTCCTGCAATAATTAATAAAAAAATAACTAAATTATTTACTGAAAACCCGGATCAATGACAGAAGATTCGGGATTTGTTGAAAATGAAATTTATTTTAACGATTAAATGTAGAAAAAATGAAACTTACGGAGAGCTTGTTCAGCAGAGAATCTTCTCGAAGTATCTTTACATATCATCTTCCTCAAGAAATCTTTAGCCATAGACGAAACTCCCCTGAACACCTTCGGCGGAAACCTCAAGTTTCCCCTCAGCACGGCTTCAAAAATCTCCTCCGCCGTCTCTCCGTAAAAAGGCGGAGATCCAGCAAGCATCGTGTACAAAACAACACCAACACTCCACAAATCAACCTTCTCACCATACTCACACCCCATCAGAACCTCAGGCGCCACGTAATACGGCGTCCCCACAACACCTTCAGTGGTCTCTCCCTCACCCAACCAAACCCCAGACCCAAAATCACATATCTTAACCGTATCGTTCCTTAAATCCACAAGAATATTCTCCGGTTTAATGTCCCTGTGAACGACGCCGTATCGGTGACAATGCGCGAGCCCCTGGAGAATCTGTTTCGCGAACGACGCCGTTTGGGACTCCGAGAAGGTTCCGGAAGAAACTAAACGGTCGTAGATCGAGACGGAAGGGTCGACTAACTCCATGTAGATGGAGAGAGTTGAGTCTGTATCGACAAGATCGTGGATTTGGACGATGTTGGGGTGAAATGACAACAAAGCCATGAGTTTAGGCTCGTTGTCGATGCAGGCACGGTCGAGATCGTCGGTTAGAGAGCTCTTCTCGATGGTTTTGCAGGCGTAGAAATCGCCGGTGGATGGAGAGTAGACGCGTGTGACGGTGCCGAAGCGTCCACGACCGATCTCTTCGCAGATCTGGTACTTTCCGTTGTTGTTCTTGTTGTTGTTGTTGTGTCCGAGTGTTTGGCTGTAAGTCATAGTATTTGATTTTTTGGTGGTTGTGTTGTTGTTGTTGTTGATGAGTTGTGTTTATGAAGAAGCAGAGGCTTTGAGTCGGCTGTAAGTTATTAATAGCCAAAATTCTTTAAGGAATATTCTTTTTGATGCCTACATGTTTTTTTCCTCTCCATCAGATGCGATTTTCTGTTAAGTTTTCTTTTATTACTTTCTTATTTATTTTTAGTCATTTTTTTAATAACATTCTGTATTTGAAAGTCAATTCATATTGTCGGTGTAATTTCCTTGCAAATCAGGTAATGTTTTTATTTGTTTTAGATGTTACTAGGAGAAGGTTTGTAATATACTATATTTTTATAAACATATTCTTATGGAATTTTAATCATTTGATATATTCTACCAATATGTTGACAAATGAGACTAATTATCATTTATGTATTTTAAATTGGTTTTGTAGTTAAGAAGGAATTATTTTATAAATAGTATAATATCTATATTATTTTATCTGATAATTCTTTAGTTAAATGAATGGGCAGCTTAACAATGTCTGTTGTAAGGTAATACGAAACCGTTTGGAATGACTTGTGTTTTTATTTGGTAACAAATCTTTAGTTTGAAACATTTGTATTGAAAAAGTCTCTAGTATTTAATGATGAACAATATAAAATAGTGTTTGATTGGAATCTTTTATACATATTCTTCTAGAGCTTTGACTTGATGATGTATATAGAGAAAACAGAAAACGGCATAACTCACCCATATGGTTTTGGTTAGGAAAACTCTCAGATTGTTGATGTAATTAAGTATAGTTTTTATTTTGACCTCTGATAGTTTCATATTTGAAGGTTTCATGTCTCTTTTCTATATGCATGCCATTTTCCCTGGTTTATTTAGTAATTATAGTTGTATCATGTGGTTATTCTATAGTTAATTAGTTGTGGTGTCGCAGATCCTTTGCTCACTAGGGGTAATTCTATAGTTAATTAGTTGTGGTGTCACAGATCCTTTGCTCACTAGGGGGTTGTAGGTACGTATCACACCGTGTATCACACCGTCGCTTGTCTCTACTTTTTATATTTTGTTACTGCTTTCCACATCATTCACTTACACACGTGTAAAAGTTTTGTTTTTTTTTGTAACTAGAGAGATAATGGTTATAAAAAAAAAGGAGAGATGTTTGCCCAAAAAAAAAAAAAAAGGAGAGATAATGGTTATAGATAGAAAAGGTAGAGAGACATAAACTTGTAAAAATAAAGACAATGAAAATCGTGTTTATTTCTTGAAATATTACATATGATGTTGGTTGTGCGACACCTTTTTGGATGTTGCGTAGAGGAAACATAATTCATTTCGTAACAATCAAACCCAAACAACACACACAAAATCTCAGACGCATCCAAATACCACACAGAACAAATAACACGTAAAGTAAACATGCAAACTAAGTTTTATAGAACACAAAACATATTTGGAGCTCGGAGAGTAGTATTGGAGCTCCTATGACCAAATTGAGGAGGAGGGCAACGAAACGCGTTTGAAATTGCGGAAGCCATCATGGAGTAGGAGGATGAGGAGGGCACAGACGTAATCTAAGTTTGTTCACATTATTCTGGACTATATTGGAGGCAGTTTTCTTCTTATTTTCACTCATAGACAAAGTCTTTGTTATTTATATTTGGGCTTTATTTTGTTTTGGGCCCGATATACTTCTCACTTGTAACCATATATGAAGCTATGATTAAATGTTTTGTTTTATAAATTCAAAATGTTTTATCAAAACCAAAATAGAAAAAAATATGATTTGGTTTGGATTATATGGTAAAAACTAAAAAATACATATTTTCTATTAGAAACTACACTATGAATAGGTTACAATTAAACTTATCAATCCAAATAAAACTAGAAGCCCAATTGAATAAAATAAAATAAAATAAACTAATACATTGTAATATAGTTATATGTGAGTGAGTAATTTTATGTCATATAATATTTTCCTATTTATAGTTTTATTCTACTAGTTTATTATCTGATTTTAAGTTCAATATTATTTTTTTTGTTGATTTAACGAATTGATATTTATGTTTTCTATGTTTATTAAATCCAATATCCAACAATACAAATTGAAATTCTTATAGTTCTATATTAACCTAAATATTGTTATTGTATGTTATGGTCAAGGTATAGACTCACCAAATTTTGTATATTTGAAAAATTTGCAGCTAGGAAACTCTATTTCCAACATTACCTTATATAGATCGATACTTGATGAAAATGTTTAACCTAAGACAACATTGCCTTATATAGAACTCACATACAATTATATTACAATGTATTAGTTTATTTTATTTTATTCAATTGGGCTTCTAGTTTTATTTGGATTGATAAGTTTAATTGTAACTTAGTCACAGTGTAGTTTCTAATAGAAAATATGTATTTTTAGTTTTTACCATATAATCCAAACCAAATCACATTTGTTTCTATTTTGGTTTTGATAAAACATTTTGAACTTATAAAACAAAACATTTAATCATAGCTTATGGGCACAAGTGAGAAGTGTATCCGGCCCAAAAAAGAGATAAAGCCCAAATATAAATAACAAAGACTTTGTCTATGAGTGAAAAATAAGAAGAAAGCTGCTTCCAATATAGTCCAGAATAATGTAAACAAACTTAGACCGCTAATTGTTCAGGGTGGTACTCGAACCCGAAACCTCCAGATCAGGAGGCAAGCGCCTTATCCATTAGGCCACGCGAAGTTAATTGCTAAACCCAAAGCAGTCTTGAATTGCCAAACTCTCACTTGTTAATTGCAGCTTCTGTGCCCTACTCATCATCTCTCGCGACATCGACTACTACGTCTGTGCCCTCCTCATCCTCCTCCCTCCCTCCATGATGGTTTCCGCAATTTCAAACGCGTTTCGTTGCCCTCCTTCTCAATTTGGTCATAGGAGCTCCAACACTACTCCCCGAGCTCCAAAGTCGCCGTCTTTCGTCAGGTATAGTCTTCTTTGGCTTTAAAATTGAAGAAAGCTCATCTCTGTTACTTGCTTACTTACTTAGTGAGAAAGCCTTTATCTTTAGTCATTGATGAGTTGTTAAGCTTGGCGCTTCTTACAATTGGTTACAAAGTTTATAACTTTCACTTTGTCGAGTTTCGTTGTTGTGTTCAACTTTGTTCACACCATTCCTTATTGTAATGAAAGTGAGGTTTTTTTTTTGTTAGGCTTCCTCTTAGAAGGGTGTTGCAAAGCAGGATTGTGATACGTGCTGCTTCTTCTGCTGCTGGAAATCCACAGTCTGATGGTGACTTTAACCCATATGAGGTGGTGATTCATCCCTCTGAAAAGGACCTTTTTTTTTTCTTGCTAGTCATTGTGTCTCTCTCTTAAGCCATGACTTGAGTGGATACCTTGTCAGGTTCTTGGTGTTAACCCTATAGAGGGATTTGACAAGATCAAGCAAACTTACTCAAGAAGACTTAAAGAAGCTCAGAGGAGTGGTGATGAAGCCACTGCTGCTCAAGTAAGTTACTTCTCTCTCTCTCTCTTTCTTTTGTTTCCTTTTTTCTTTTCTTGCTAACACTTCTTTTTTTTTCTTCCTATTGATAGCTTGAAAAAGCATATGATAAACTCATGTATTCCCAGTTAATGAATAGGAAAAAAGGTGTGACTTTTGGTTCCTTTAAGGTATGTATCGTTTCCTCCTTTCTAGCCATATTATGCCGTCTTGAACTTCCTTTCTTAATCCTGGGTGAAATTATCTCATAATTTCAGGTTTCCAAGGACATTAGATATGCTGATAAGATGCCCATTATACCATGGGGTCCAAGGTAAGAGAGTCTTTGTGAGTTTATTCAGATTATTTATGTTCATCCTTCAAAAGCACGTTATAATTTATAAGTTATTGAGCCATCTTGTTACAGGTATTCCAAGTCCCCCAAGAACGATATGTTGATCAACCTAGCAATCTCAGCTGTGTTTGTAAGTATTTTGGAAGAATGAGGATTGAAGATTATGTTGCTCCCTTCACAATCATATATGAATGTCTCTGTTTCTCTCTTTTTTGCAGAGTGCATGGATTGCCATCAAACGAAATGTTGAGTACAAACCGTTGCAGTTCATGTCCTTTGTGTTTGTTTACAGAATTTTTGAGAAACTGAAATCCTTTGAAGCACCTTCAACTCCAACATATAACGTGAGTTTTGAAAAAAAATTGATGCCTTGTTGTCTAATGTCGATTCACCTCGTGGCTCTTATAGTCCTGATTAGCATTGATATTGACATTGGCTGCAGGAGGAAGGTGAAGAAAATGGACGAGGATTGAAAATGGGAAAGAGGCTTCTTCGGTCTCTTTCATTAGTTTTTGGATCTATACTTGTGGCATCCTTGGTATGTAAATCTATCAAGACTCTTCTCTTTTATGTTGCACTAGCTGCTACTGTTAGATATATAAATATAGCTCACAGTGTGAGAACATTATTTTCTTGGATCCTCATGATTGTTATAAGATATCTTCAAGTTTTGTAACTTGATTATATTATAACCCTTCGAGAATCATGCTTTGCAGGCTTACACTGGGATCTTAAATGTCATCGAGTACATGGGCAGCTCCATACCCATAGCACTTTACAATAACCAGGTTAACATTCTTACCTAAACCCCATCTCTCTTCACTTGGACCCCCCATCCCTTAACTTAGTCCCCACGCAAAATAATCATTTTTGTTTAGGATCATTAAGTCAATAGTTGGCTTACGTTGTTGATAATTATTTTGTTGATCCGTAATATGATTCACTTGTCACATCTATAGGTATTGTGGTGTGTGTACTTCTACTGATATGAAAACTAGATGCACAACTTTTATATAGTTAGTGAGAAGTTCCATGTTGTATGTGTTTTGCCATGATCTCTAAATTTAACTGTTCCATCATAGATAACCATAAACTAGGATATGTGATATTCAACAAGAACAAAATCAACAGTGCTGACGTTGATACTGGATTGCAGGAACTTATAGTGACGGCTTCATCAGCTTTGATGCTCTATGTAATGGCTTCGTATTACAGATAATGGGAGAGAGAGAGCACAAAGAGCTTTGATCTACCATGAGGTTTTGGAGAAGTTTTTTGATGTGTAACCTGTGGCTTCTAGATGTTAACAAATGAGATAAAAAGTTATTTTCTTGGGAGATTGATTTTTTTATCTTTTATAATATTTGTTGTGGAAAAATCAAGTAAAGAGAGTTGTTGCTGAAAAGTTTATGTAATTGGTTAGATTAGAAAAAAGTGCCAGGCGGCTTAGACTGAATTAGAAAACAACTATAGAAATATTCCTCAAAATTATATAATTTATAAAGCAACGATCAATTAATTTATATAACAAAATCTCATATCTATAACATTATTTGAGAAGTAAATTTGCTTAATTGTCATGTTCTCCATAAGTTTAGGTAATTATGTTTGTTTATCATATTTTTAATATTTATATATAATTTATTTATAAATAAAATGAATTCATATGAATATATCATATTTTTAGAAAATAAGATAATGCTTGTGAATTATGTTGTTATCTTGAAATATATTTTATATGTAAAAATTAAATTTTCAATTAAGATATAAAAATTATTATATTTATTATATAACTAAAATGAATTTATATTAATAATTTTATATTTTTCTAAAATAAGATAATTCTTATGAATTATATTGTTATGTTGAAAATATATTTTTCGTATTAAAAAACTTAATCCTAGATAATTTTGATCATCTATCTAGATAATTTTCTAAAATATATAATATTAATAATAAAATATAAATCATCAAAAAAATTATTTGAAAAGTGAAATTGTTGATTTTTCTCGATAATCCTTAATAAATTTGATCATTTATCAGAATTTCTCTAATTTGTTTATTATTGACTATATAATTAAAACTAATTTATATTAATAATAAGATATTTTAGAAACTAAGTTGATTTTTATGTATTATCATGTTATCTTGAAAGTATATTTTTCTATTATAAATTTTAAAATTAACATGTAAAAAATCTATACTATTATTTAAGAAGTGAATTTAATGTTTGCCTATTTTTCATATTTTCCATAATTGTAGGTAATTTAGATAATTTATCATAATTTCTATAATTTTATATATGATTTATTATATACTTAAAACAAATTTATATTAATAGTATTATATTTTTAGAAAATAAGATACTTCTTATGTATTATGTTGTTATCTTGAAAATATATTTTTATTTTATATAATTTAAAAGTAAAATAGAAAATATCTATTATTAATTAAATATAAATCACCACTCAAGAAAAAAATATTTAAGAAGTGAATTTGCTGATTCATTAAATTCTTCATGATTTTAGATAATTTTAATTATATGTCATAATTTCTATAATCTTATATAATTATTATATAATTAAAACAAATTTATCTATACTATTATTTGAAAAGTGATTTTTCGCAGCGGAGCTTCCACCTTAAAAGTTGGAGTGGTTAATATTGTTTATACCTTTAATGGATAAAATATATAAATCAGCCAAAAATAAAAAAAAGAATTTATATTTATTTGATTAGATAAATGATTTAAATTAATAATAATGATAATAATTATCCATAATCTAAATATATATTTAAAAATAAAATAAAAAAGTTAATTTTCATATATATTGTGTTGTTATCAGAAAATATATTTAATTAATATATAATCAACCATAAATTAGAAACAAATTTCACTGATTTGATGACTATTATTATCTAAAAATAGTTGATATTAATAAACCATAAACTAAAACTGAATTAATATATAAGTAACAATCAATTAATTATATTTAAAAAAGTGAATTTGCTGATTTATCATATTCTCCACAAGTTTATGTAATTATACTTATTTATCATGTTTTTATGATTTTGACTAATGATTAATTATTACCCTTAATTAATGACTAATTAAAATTATTATTTTATAATTATAAACCGTATATTAATTAGATTTACTATCTTTAATGACAAAACAAACATAAACTTACTAACTAATTGAATTTATTACTATATAATGAATAATTAGATCTATTACTATATAATAATTAGAAACAAATCTTATTTGTCATGTTTCTTATGATTTGATGATTATCATTATCTAGACTAGTGATTATCTAATAAATCTAATTATTCATTATATAGTAATAAATCTAATTAGTCATTAAGTTTATGTTTGCTTAGCCATTAAAGATAATAAATCTAATTGTCATGTTATTATGATTTTTACTATCCTTAATGACAAAGCAAACATAAACTTAATGACTAACTAGATTTATTACTATATAATGACTAATAGTTATTACTATTTGACTAAAAAAAATATTTATTACTAGATAATAATTAAAAATTCAATATATAATTAAACATAAGTAAAAAACGAATTTCAATGATTTTAGATTTATCTTTATCTAAAACTATTTAATATTGGGTTATAAAATCTTTATTAACCTTTAAATATAATTATATTTTAGTAGTATATCATTAATTATAAATTAAAAATGAATTTCATTTATTTGATAATCATCCTTATTTAATTTTTTTATATTATGTCTTTATCAACATTGAAAAATAATTGTATTTAAAATAATTATATTTGTTAATATATAATTAATTCTAAATTAAACACGAATTTGATAATTATCATTATCTAATTTTTTATAATTGTGTTTTAAGTCTTTATTACCCTTGAAAAATAATTATATTTTTTAATATATATTTAATTATGAAAAAATAATTCGCATAGAATTTATGTATAGATAGTTTACATTACTAAAGATAATTTTATTACACTTTTTTGTTATGTCTAAAAATGATATTAGTTTATTACTAAATATTTAAAATTTATGAGTATTTTCACATTCAATTTGTGTATGACAATTATTTATATGAGATGAAAAATTTTATATATAGAAAGAATTTGTTTAGATTATTATTAAATATTTTGAGTGTATGAACAATAATTTATTATAATTTACTTAAATTGATTATATTTGTTTATAGATATTAAAAAAATATTAAGCCCGCAAGTGCGGGCAAAACACCTAGTACTAAGGAAAGAAACATATACCAAATCTTTATTATTTGGTGTCACGCCTTGTTATTTTTATGCTTTTACAGAAACAAATATATAGAGAAGAGTTGGAAATCGAAATCCTCTTAAATAGAGAAAAAAAAAAAAAAAAAAAAAAAAAAAAAAAAAAAACAAAAAGCTGATAGAGACAAAGATGCCACGATGCATGAGTAGGAAATACACGTAAGAGCTGACTCAATCTCTATCACAGTTACATCTCTATAAAAACTAGAGAGAGAGAGAGAGAGAGAGAGAGAGTTATGTAGTTTACACAGCGTTCCACACTAACGTTTTAGACTCTTTCGAAAAGTATTTGACAAGTGGGTGAGCGATACTCAGAGTTCCGTCTTCTACTGGTACTTTCCTTCTTCTTCTTCTCCTTGTATAAATAAATAATATGAACAAGTTTTAGTTGATTTGGAATTAATGGTAATTAACAAGATGTGTTGACAGACGTTACTTTACCTGGTGCTTCGGTTATATTTGTCTTTCTTTAGTATTTGATTTTTCTTTTCTGAAAAGATTATAATCAAATTACAGATGATGATTCATATGTTATGAACTATGAAGGAGACTGAGATAGATGAATTTAACATAATTATAAACAAAGCAGATTTTAAAATATATCAAATTAAGACACGTCCTTAGATGAATTGCAAGTGAAGGTAATAATTAACTTTTATGGTTTCATCGATACGTCCGAGAATAATAAGAAGACGATAACACTCTTGTCACGTGAATAACTTTGTTTTTTTTGGCCTTGGACACTTATGTTACGTGTGCTTCCCACAAACAACACAACTTCATCCTTTTCTCGTGATAGCCAAATGGTAACTTTGGCCTTATTGTATATATCAAAATCAGCTTAAATTTTCCACGTGGCATTCCTCTAGTTACCAGCTTGATTCATCTCTTTCCAAACAAAATGAAAAAAGACTGCTTAAAAAGCAATAATGTTCTATTTAGTCAGAAGTCGAGAGAGGCTCTGTTTCAAATTCTAAAAGCAATAATAAATCTGAAACTTTCCCTAGCTTTTTTTTTTGTCCACATGTTTTAATTATCATGGTTCTTAATTTGATAGTATAGGTCATAATAAAACGGCTATTTAGCTGCTACCTTCAAGTTGGAATCACAAACAAGAGCATCCTTCAACAGGTACTCCTCTGGTTTCATGTTTGAATTACAATCTCTATCCTTTTATTTCTTCAAAACCTCTGTTTAACTACTTACTGGAATCATACACTCTTTAATACTTTGGCTTGTTTGAGATAATACTATTAGAAAACACTTGTTATGCATGATCATCTGGGAGTCGATGATTCAGTCTCAATACAATTATTACTATTTTTTTTGTATTAATATGTATGATTTCTAACATTTTTATTCATATGTACTAATAATATTTTAATATACATTATAAACTTCATTGGGGAAAAAAAATCTGAAGATATTCTAAGTTTTGTTCCTCGTAATGATAATGTTAAGAAGCAAGGGGAGATTTTAATATTCTCCTCATATAAAAAACAGTAATTTGTGAGATTCGTACGGAGGTTTGCGATTTATTAGGAGAGATATTGTTGTGTCCCCAATAGACCAGTTCAAATGTTCTTCCCTCTGATCTAACGTCAAACTGTTATAACAAATTCTTTAAGATAAATTTAGGAGAAGAAAATGCATGTTACCTTATCTAACACGTTAGGGCTTTTAAGTATATTTCTTTTGTTTATCCTTTTTATTTTTGGTTTACGTTTCCTAGTCTCATTAGGATTGGTGTTTAAACCTAATTAAGGAGCTATCATTGTCGTTACAAATTAATTAATAATCCTCTGGTGCTAAGTGCCTCTGCTCCATATGAGTTTCTAACCAAAAGGAAGATAACAATTAATGTGTTATAGGTAGATTGGTATCAAGATGGTGATGAGAACTGTGGATCTACGATCAGACACCGTGACTAAACCCACCGATGCAATGCGTGAAGCAATGTGTAGTGCAGAGGTGGACGATGACATCCTCGGCTACGACCCAACGGCTCGACGTCTCGAAGAGGAGATGGCTAAGATGTTTGGGAAAGAGGCGGCTCTGTTCGTGCCATCTGGTACAATGGGGAACCTTATATGCGTTATGGTTCACTGTGACGTGAGAGGCAGCGAGGTGATTCTTGGTGACACGTGTCACATCCATGTTTACGAGAATGGAGGGATATCAACAATAGGTGGAGTGCATCCCAAGACAATAAGGAATGAAGAAGATGGGACAATGGATTTGATGGCTATAGAAGCAGCCATTAGAGATCCTAAAGGAAGCACGTTTTATCCATCAACCAAGTTGATTTGTTTGGAGAACACACATGCCAAGTAAGTGCTCATACTTTCTCAAGACCATACGTAATAGTTAATTAGTTAGTCTCTTATTATGAGGATTTTGATATACAGCTCTGGTGGGAGATGTTTGAGTGCGGAATACACTGATAGAGTTGGAGAGATTGCTAAGAGACATGGATTGAAACTTCATATCGATGGAGCTCGCATTTTTAATGCTTCCACTGTAACTATATGCAATATATATCTACATTACAAAACCACTAGACTAAACTATTATGATTTTTTTTTTTTTTTTTGCTGTAGGCACTTGGAGTTCCAGTTCATAGGCTAGTAAAGGCTGCTGACTCTGTTTCGGTGATGTTCTCTTATTTAACTTCTCATGAAAAGTTTAAGATAAAAGATTGTTGAGACTCATTCATTACATATACACTATGTTTTCAGGTGTGTCTCTCTAAAGGTCTTGGAGCTCCAATAGGATCTGTAATCGTTGGTTCACAGAGTTTTATTGAAAAGGCGAAAACCTTAAGGAAAACATTAGGTGGAGGAATGAGACAGATAGGAGTTTTGTGTGCAGCAGCTTTGGTTGCACTCCAAGAGAATCTCCCAAAGCTACACTCTGACCACAAGAAGACAAAACTGTTAGCTGGTAAGTATGCACCAAACTTATTTACCCTAAATAATGCCAAAGAGAAACTCAACTACGTAAATATTTGCAGAAGGGTTGAACAAAATGAAAGGGATTAGAGTGAACGTTGCAGCCATGGAGACCAACATGGTGCGTATTGTTTTATGTTATCAACAATAATAACGACAAAAACTGTTGTTTGTTTTAATTATTTTAAAACATCAAATTCAGATATTCATGGATATGGAGGATGGATCAAGACTTACCGCTGAGAAACTCCGCAAGAGTCTAACGGAGCATGGCATTCTTGTCATCCCTGAAAACTCTTCACGGTAACGTCTAGCAACCATAACCTCTTTATTGTTTCAAATAAACAAGTTTTCTGAAAACTTATTATTTATTCTATATTCAGAATCAGAATGGTTATACACCACCAGATAACAATAAGTGATGTGCATTACACACTGTCTTGCCTGCAAGTAAGATCATTATTATTATATCTCTCTCTGTATTCCACTTTCTTTACTGAGTTGTGATTTTCATTTGGCAGCAAGCAGTGCAGATGATTCAGGAACCATGCCAAAACTAAATTGGCGAAACCAAAATGCTCTGTTTTAAAATATTGTTTGTTTAAGTTGTTTTTAATTAAAGCTACAAGGACTGATCTATTTCAATGAAATTGTCACTTTCATGTCGTCTATTTTATTATTGTATTTTTGGTTTATATATTACTTACACATACATAAGCCATGATTGGAACAAGCTTGAAATAGACGGGTATGATCAGAAACACAGAATGGATGAAACACACTAGCAATTAAAAAAAATGATTTAACTAGATTTTTCTTGTAACGGTGTTCATCCATATAAATGGATAGCTGATCATAGGAAGCGTTGAAACTAGAAAAAATGTTGGTTATTTTCCTACTCCTAAAGAGGTAGATATTGAAAAATGGTATTTATAATCTCGTTAAATCAAATGTCCTTTGAACTTTCAAAACAGAGGAACATATGTAGAAAAACTAATGGTTTCAAGAACCCTAAAAATCTTCATTTCTTTCTCCTTTGTTATACGGAAGAAGAAACAGAGTTTTTAGTTATATCTTTATGTCCTTCCTCTGTAAGGGTGTCCAAAAAAGAATGAGCAGGGAGCCTCATCAACTCTGTATGTACACAACTAAAAATCAATCGCCTTCGAATCAAGTCAGTGACGATTCTGGATCTCTTCCTTCACAAGTTCGGTCACCAAATCTATGTTAGACTCACTTAAAACTTGTTGAAGTGAGCTTAGTTCCTCCATGTTAGCTTTCTTCAGCAGAGCTTTGAGAGTAGAGTTTTTTCCAGCTGGCAATAGGATGCTTGTGTTGGCTTCTCTGGGAAGAGGATTTGCAGGGAACTGAACTTGTGGCCTCGAATATGGCCTTGAATCCCAATACTCTGTGCATACTCGATTCACATCTAATGCTTCGATAGCCTGTTTATCACATTAGAGTATATATATTTGTCAACTAGATTCACAAATGAAGCCTTACGTTTTCAAATCAACAAAGCTATGGTTACGATTCTTTCCAGGCATTAGAAGACAAGACATCAAAGCATTTTACCTGTATGATTGCTGGTGACGTATATCCAAACATTTCAAAACCGTCAGGACTTCCAGAGGGCTGCAGAGGAGGAAGATCTAATTTACCAGCTTTGTGTTGCTTACTTATCTCTTGATTTACTCTATCTCTCACCATCTCCCAGCATCTTGTAGGCGACAAGTGAGCAAACACCTCACTCGGATTACCCTCCAAGTAAACCTGACAAGAAGATCATATAACAGAGTTTGTTGATGAGCAAAGACTTTCAGAATTGCACAATGATCAAAATAATTTTAAGGCAATGCAACCTTTGTAGACTATATATCAACATCAATCAACCAAAAGAATCAAGAAATATATCAATTTACCATGAACAACGGACTATTCCGTCCAGCATCCAGAATTTCTGAAATGTAGAAGCTCATGTTTGTTGGATCCAAAATATTTATGTACTTAACCCGGCTACGAAATCCTGCACCAAAGAAGAATATACATTAAGCACTTGCAAAATATTTGTTTTTGTTATCGAGTTGCAAAAATACATGGCCACATGTCGTCACCTTTGGGAAAAATTGCTTGGCGGTTGCACCATGATTTTCCAGAAAGCACACATCCATAGCTTAAAGGCTCTACTTTGCATTTGACTCTCCTCACAACTTTTGCTATACGGGGACCCTTTTGGCGGATGATCCTATCCGGACTATTGTTTTGCGAACAAGATGGTGTACCTGAGTTACTTCTTGTCCCATTATTTTGCGAACAAGATGGTGTACTTGATTTACTTCTTGTCCCATCAACCACATCTAATATAGCCAATCCTCCAGAGATTTTGGATTTACTGCTACTAGGTTTTTCACCATCCTGGTTGCTGGTGTCCATTCTACTACATATTTCATGAGCAGACACATTAACTTCAACATGCGATACAGAACTACTCGGTACATCCCCTCCCACTGCTCTTTGGTCATTAGTAGGCAATGATATAGTCTTTCGTGTATCAGGCAAAGAATTTACTTGCTTTTCGATATTTGGAGCAGCAAATTTACCAGGTGCTTCTAAAGCTAAAACGAGGGTTGGTCTCTCACGTATTTTTAAATGCTTGCCAGAAGAAACTGAACCTCGTGAATTCTTTTTACCACTTGTAGACTTAGAAGCTGCCACAGAGAGTAAGCCTTCTTCAGAAGATTTTGGAACAGAAGACTCATAAACAGTTTCTTCTTTGACAGGCTTCATACAGTTGCTTGGTGATAATTGCTCCTTGTCTTTCAGAAGTAAATTAACATCTGATAAATTACTCGTCTTTTCTAACCCTTCACTTAGATCTTGTCCCGTTGTTTCTTTCAGCTGTAAATCTTTTCCTAAAAGTGCATCTGCTTGTTGACTCAGGTCCTTGTGCACTTTAACTTCTTCATCCATCTCCATCTTTTTTCTTGAGATGTGTGCACTTAAAGCCAATCCTAAATCTTGACGCGCCCATCTATATACAGCACTAAGTTTTCCTTCCACAGCCTCAACAAGAACACTCAGTTCATCGATATCATAGCGAAATAGAAAATATTTACTAACCCACGGACACGAACACAACTGCTTCACATGAGTCAAACATGTATACTTCTCTGGGGAACAACGGCAACCAGCAGCGGAAAGGTGCAAGTCAAAGAAGCATATGCAACACTCTCTCTCGTTGGTAGCATCGAAATTACTATGCATCTTCAGTGCAAGTGAAGAGCTACACAGAAATTCTCTTCTTGTACGTTCTATGTCAATGCGTGCCTATATAAAACCATGACAAAGTCAATTAATCACCATATTGACAATAGATAACGATCCTCAATAGAAAAGATATCTGTACCTTGAGTGTTTTTGCCAAAACTCCATCCTTTCCGCTGAATTGTTTCCACCTCAAGTTATCTACAGTATTTTTCTTTAGTAAGTTCAGCTCCCAGTCGGCTTTGACTACTTCTCTTGCTGCCCCAAGCAACAATTTATCATGTGAGATGGAAGTTTTTCTACCCTGTTGACAGTATAACTCAATGGCATTCTGCCCATGAGGCAACCAATCAACTGGTGCTACATTCACGGCTTCGGCACAGTTGAAACCACAATTAAATCCAGCGTGATATGCCCGAGGAAAAGTCAAGACAAACTCTCCAGCATGCTGGACGCAGCGGTGCACAGGTACTCCTGCTGTTTTCAGTTTTGACGGGGAGAGTTGTGTTACCTACATGAAAGAGCACCAAATAATTAATTGCATATTGAAAGACGTCCACTGTGTGATTATAGAGCAGAAACGTTATGATTCAGTTCATAACTAATCTAAACTTACTAGCTTATGAAGCAGATCAGGCTGTTCTTCGAAAAGGTCAGGCAAATGCTTTCTCATCGCCTCCTCGAGTTTAGTAGCGTCCTTACCCGCAACACCATACCACAGTTTTGGTTCACCCCAGTGCATATAATTTAACGAATACAAGTGGTGATCTTCAACATGCTATTTTGGTAAAAACAATAACACAAGACATGTGAGTAATGGGAAGTATTAAAACAAAACAAGATGTAGAGTCATGAAAAATACATCCATTGGTTTAACAAAATAGTATATTAGGAAGATATTCCAACTAAGTATATGCAACTAGCAAGATATATGCAAAATCACAGAGAACAATCTTACCCAGCAGAAAGAAGAAAAGCACATCCCAATATACAGCCACGGTACAAGGACACCAGAAATATCACTGCCTTCATGCTTAAGCAGGGACCCTGGAAGCCTTGAAAAATTATTTAGGTTCCATCCCGATTTTGCATATTTTTCGTCTGAAGAAGAAGCCTCCTGACTAGATGATATCTTGGGGAATCCGCTACCAAATACCCCAGTTTCGAGGTCGGCACCATATAGCACCTATATTGAAGTATCCACGCCTTAATCAGGAGATACAGAGGCACTAAATAGACCATAAAACCAAAAACAACAGGGAATAAACCTTCACCTCTATCTCTTCAGTTGCTTTATCTACTATACGCCAATATTCACCTTCAACATCCTCAACTGCTGGCTCCCAACAGTTACCAACTTTACATACATTGTCAGAAGAAGGTTCACTCTTTTTAAAGTACTGAGCCTTGAACTCATCAGCATACTTTTTGAAGTCATTTAGAGTGAACCCTGGACCAGGTTCAAAGCCAAACGTCTCAAGTTGACTCATTTCTGTGCTTGCAGAACCGGGATCGCTCCCATTAGTGACAGTATCCACTCCCATTTTCATGCACTTTCTTTTCTTCCTTCTCATTTGATTAGAAATCTTTGAAATCTTCTTCATTGAACTTCGGTTCTGAAGTTTATCCACTCTTTGAACACGTGTGGTAAATTTAGAACCTTCCCAAACTTGCTTTTCTTTCAGAGGGCAAGGGGGTTTCCAGGAAGGAGGAGGAACAATGCGACAGATTCCATACTGTTCAGCCTTTGGTCTTATTTTAGCTATATAACTCAGAGTATCTTCAAACTCCTAGAAACAGGTTTTCAGTTTATGTCAGAAAAAAAAAGGATCTCTATAGAGAGTAGAAAGTATAGAATGCAAACAAGACCTCTTCGGTTGGGTAGAATATAGGGGCATCTTCAAGGTCAGGTCTACGAGCTTCTGTTGGATGCCATCTCGCAGTTACCTGTCAAATATGAAACAAGAAAAAGTAAGGCATCTAAGCGTTTAAGTTCTTTCTGTGGTGAGCATTAATTGAGATTATTAACCTTCTGGCAGTCATTACATTCTGTACATCCCCTGGTCACACCCTTTGGTAGAGAAGGCTTCTGCAAAGACATGATGAATGAGCAAAATGCAAAGAAAGCAAAAAAATTGCTGCTATGCATAAGAAACAAAATAAAAACGAACTAACTTGATCAAGATTATTATGAGAAAAGGCATTGTCATTGTTTGGAGCAGCATCATCATCATCACATCCGGCATAATTAATCCAAGGTCTACGCCGTAGAGACCGAGCAGCTTTGAGTTCATCGGATTCAGTCTCCATCTTGTTAACTTGATCGGTTACATAAGAAACACTTTCCATCACAGTCTTGGTTTTATCAGCAGCACCAGCACCAGGAACAACTCTTTTCAAAGTGAGAGTAGCATATGATTCAAAGCCAGGAGGAACAGATGGTAACTCATCACTCTCTTCTTTCATACAGACTCTCATTAGCTCTGTCCCCATTACATACTCTCTGCCAACACCAATTTTAACATCATCTCTATAGTATAGCCACAACCCAATATTTATAAATTAAAAAAGAAAAAAAAGACAAAATGAAAATACAACTAATACATCAACCACATGATGGAATATAAATATAACGTTTAATCGCTAAATACATCAATCAATCAAATTTTAAGAGACCCATAAAACAAAACAAATAAATTGAGAAAATTTCCTTACATAGTTGAATCTAGGGTTTCTTGAATTTGTTGGTCAAAGGTTCATCAACTGCAGCCAGATTCAGCAATTCGTAACAAGGATTTGAAAGATCTGAGGAACCCTAGAAATTTACAAAATTAGTAAATATATATTTAAAAAAAAATTCAGATTCATCAGATCTAACCCTAAACTCTACCAAAGAATCAGATTATTTTTGAGAAATTGATGAAGAAACTTCGCTATGTCCTTTTCCATATTTGCATAAATAAAATACAAATCATTCAAAGGTACCATCCACAAAAGTCCAAATAATGGAACAAACCTTTTTCTATATTCCCAGAAAAAAAAACAATCAAAAGGATGAAGGAAGAAGAAAAGGGCAAATTGGGAATTAAATCTACAGGTCCATGGTTTTGGTATCTATTAAAAACACTCAAGAAACAATATGAAGAACAACAAAAGAGCAAGAACAAGATGTATTTTTCTTCACTAAATTGGTAGTTAAAAAATTAATCACCTTTTTGATTTTCTTTTCAATCAATTTTTTTTTTTAAGATCATATGAGAGAGGAAACAAACATGTGGCTTGCTTGTTTGTTTGTTTTGCTGGGCTTTGATATGAAAATTTTCCTAACTTTTTGATGTGTGATGAGGTCTGTCTTATTATAACGCTTCAAAAAAGCAAAGCAAAGATGCAATTTCCTATGCACCTTACTCTAATAATTTTGTTTTTTTTTTGCACCCATCAAATAACTATACATATAAAAAGAGCATTAAAAGCAAGTTCATTCCGTGACAAAAAAAAAACTTCATTAAGAATATAATTGTGGTTGGCTTTATGGTAAATTGGGTTTGTTTATCAATTGTTGTTGGCTGACATTTTTTTATTCACGGGTGGTGGACATTAATACTGGGTATCCGCACGGCATTTTTTTCCAAAAGATATAATATTATGAAACAGTTATTAATTCATATAAATAGTGATTTAAGATTCGCTCTCAAATACAGATATAACTATATAAACATATATATTTAGTAAATTTAGTATTTTAAAGAGAAAAGTCTTCTGATAAGAAATATATATGTATAGAAACATGTCAAAAGTAGAAAACTATTCTAATATTTTTAAAAGGCAAGTGAATTTTCTTACCCATTGTGAATGGTATTAACTATTAAGTATCAAACCTAACAGCTGGATTATTATAATAGGGAATGGACTTCGGAAGGAAAAACAATGTTGACCACTGTGAATCCACAACAGAGCAATTTAAAATGTTTTAAACAGCTTTTTTCTTATTACGTGTTGTCATAGATAAATTCTAAATAGAAAGAAAAATATTTTTATAATATTTTGGTTAAAGATGATTTAAAATCTTAAATACAATTCAAAACCTGGTGACCAAAATTTTAATTTGCTAGTTTCAAAAAAAAAAAGGTTTTAAAACCGAAACCTTTAAAATTCCAACTATATTCAGAATTTACCCAAACTAAAATAGAGAGAGGATACATGGGTGAGTGTTGGAGGTTAGACAAGTAGTGTGCAGTAAACGAAATATTAAGAGAATTGAGGGTGTACTTTATAAAAGAAGGAATACTCATCAGATGCTAGATTGAAGTGCAGCAGAGTGATGGTGGTTAAACACTACAAATTGGACAAACATGTCGAAGCAGAGTGATGCGCCAATGCAAATTGGATAAACAAAAACTTGCAGTGATGATTACTCTTAAAAATTCTCAAATCACTTTAGATTTACAAGACACAAGTTCCAGCATGATTAGAAAGTAAACACACTAACAAACGCCCTGATTTTGATCTCGGCAATGGAACTATAATCTAAATCATTCTATAAAGCTAAAAGGAATGTCAAATGTTACTTTTCCCTTAAATTTCAGTCCCGTACTTAAAAAAGAAAACTCAACTCTCTTTTGCAAATCTTCATTTACTATCTAGTTTACCTCTGACGAAAGTTTGGATGCTGGTGTAACATTTTCCCACGTTATGACGCGCCCACACTCCCCACAGACCGTGCTGCTACCCACTTTTCTTCCTTGGCTTATGAGTGTAAGCTGATGCGCGATTCTAGTGCAGCTTCGGTTCACAAAACGACTTCTGTTGAACCCTCTTGGGTGGCGTAAGGGCTGTATTTGTGGTGAAGGCGAAGGTTTTTGGAGCACAGGTGCTTCGCTGATGGGGGCTCGTTGAACTTCTTCCCACTGAAGTGCTTTCCTGTAAACTTCCCATGCCATGTCTTTTTCTTCCTTTGTCAGTCTTTCATCTTCATTTTCTTGTAGCAACGTCTCGTGCTCATGGAAACTAGAAATCCAGCTATAGTAAAAGAAAGGACAGAGAGTTAGAAAAACCAAAGAAGTTAAGTACAGAATGTGAATATGGTGGTTACTCTTGCAAACTTACTCGGGGCTGTGTCTCTGTAGTAAGTTCTCCATCAATTTGTCAGAGTCGCAACCGACGCGAGATGAAGTAGCGGCCTTCTGTTTCTGTGAATTCTCTGTCAATAATCTTGTGTTTTGGCTATCGTTTCGCTTGCTTATCTCGGTGACAGCGTCAGATTTTTCATCGTCATCGTCAAATTCAAAAAGATGCAACATCTCTTCTTTGGAGATAGTTCTGTGCACTTGTTGTCTATCCACCACTCTCGCAGCGAGCCCCTCCTTGTTCACCTAATCAAATTGGCATATCTGATTCATGAACGTCTCCTTAAAAGAAGAAATACTGAAACTCAAAATGTTTTGGTTCTTTGCAATAATACCTGCCGTTTATATATTTTTTCTTCGATAGTCCCACGTGCCATCAACCTGTACGCAAATACTGGCTTCTTTTGGCCATACCTGCAAACAATAAGTCCACATGATGTTAAGCCACATTTATTAATGATGTGCGTTACAAATTTAAATTCCAACGTTAGTCTAGGAAATACCTCCAAGCTCGAAAGATGGCTTGAAGATCATAAGTTGGATTCCATGAACCATCAACAATGATCACACGGTTAGCAGCATAAAGATTAATTCCAAGAGATCCAGCTCTGGTCGAGATTAGAGTGCATTTCACCCTTTTGTTTTCAGGCTCATTAAACTTATCAACCAACTTCTGGCGTTCTGAGCTTTCGGTTTTTCCATCAATTCTGCATCCATGCAAGGGAAGTTAGAGCCGCCATAATGGTTCAAACATCATCCATGCTATTATGAAAGAACTAGATACCAACCTATACCAGTCTTTGCCCTTTTTCCAGAACTTTCCTTGTTTGCCACGACGAGATACTCTTGAAAGATACAGTTCTATGAGATCCAGTGTCGGGATACTCTGGCTAAACACGAGCGCCTTGTCACCCACATGAGCGCACATGGATAAAATATCCAATAGCAAAATCATTTTGCCACTATATTCCGAGACCTTGTAGTTATTTTTTTGAAGTAGGTCGACCCACCAATCCTGGCAGAAAGGCAGGGTTAGAATCAGAGCTGTTTACTTTGAAGTTGTTGATAGTAATTACTAATACAGTCAAGCTGAGTAGTCTATAGTTACCTTCTGGAGGTAGCCATCAACTTTATCTTGCAAATCACTCATATTCCTCTGTTTCTCTGTCCGTATCCAAAACAACAATGACAAAAAGTGTTAATGCATATTTTAAAGTTAATGGCTATCTGTTTCTCTGTCAGTATCCAAAACAACAACAATGACACAATGTGTTACTATATATTTAAAAAAGCTATTGAACTTGTTAGACATGTAAATCAAGAAATATCTACTGCAAGCTTAGTCATATATGATGAAGCTTGAAAGCATACACGTTTCTAGAAAGATTATCGTTGGTAAAGAAAGTCTTAGAAAAATCAAACCAGTCCTCCAACTAGGGGAAATCTTATTCAATTTAGAAAAATTAAAAAATGTTACTGCACCTAGCACTTCCTTAAATCAGAGAAAAATATATATCAAAAAGTAGTTTACACAAATCTTTAAAACGTGAGCAGTGAGAATGAAGAGTTACCTCCCACAACCATGTTGCAGTCTAAATTTTCATCACTTGAACATTCATCTGGAATATCAACAATGCTACCGCGGCGACCTTGTTTCTTATCTTCCCTTCTTAATTGCGGAATCCCTGGATGATTCAAAATCTGGTAATCGCCAAAAACGACAGAGGGGGTTACGAATACGAAAAAGGATACCAAATTGGTTAAAATCAGTTATTAATTTAAGTACTAAAATTTTTTAAAAAAGGTTGAAGGACTAACAAATCACATTTGTACCTGAGCCAAGACCTGGTAAGCAGCAAAGAAATTTTTTCTCATCCTTTCATCTGCTCTTCCATCGTTGAACCCATATAGCTTAAGAAATCTCTTATACAACTTCCGCTGCAAGGGCGATAGTTTGACAGATATTACGAAGACTGTTTTAGGTGGCAGATCCTTTTTCACAACATTCATATCCATTCTTTGAACAAATCCTTTCAATTCCTCATACAAGATGTGTGATCTCTGGTTCATAATTTTCACGTCCTCTGCAGTTGAATTCATATGCTGTCCATTTTCTATTGGATTTTGGAAGCTGCACGCATGGTGAAGCACGATTAAAACTCGAGAAACATCACATGAACACAGGCAGATAGTAAAACACTGGTATGAAAAACTAACCGATTTCTAAACTCAGGGCTACTCCCCAGGAATCCTTCTCTTACAAAATCAACCATCTGTTGCAGTAAAGACATAAGTTAAGAAACAGGGGCTAAGAATAAATTAATCACATGTATTCCTTCAGTAACTTACACAATAATATTCCATGAGATTGTTTTGAAGGGGTGACCCTGTTAAGGCAATTCTTCTCTGGCATTTAACTTGCTTTAGTGCTTGGGTTGTGTCAGCCCTGGTGTTCTTGATAATGTGAGCCTCATCACAAACAAGTATATCAGGTCCATCCTGTAGCCACATAGGTTCAAATAAGTGCAAGAATAAGACATTGCAAGCGTAATCAAGAGAAAACATGAGAACCGAAAAAAATATGCTACAGTAACGCCACAAGATAGGTATCACAATTCAAACCTAAACGAAAAGATTAATATTTGAATAAAAGGAAACTGTAACCATAAACAGCAAGTGAAAAGTTAATATAAAAAGGGAAATTTTGCCAGTGAAATATAGTCTTACCCTCAAGACACTGCAGATTTCTTTGGCCGCATTTATATCCTTCACCCCCTTCCCAAGAGACAAGTTTCTAAAAGCGGCATATCCAATCAAGAAGACTCCACCCTTATTTCGCCACTTCGTTAGCAAGTCCAATCTCCTCTCCCTTCAAAAAAAAAAAAAAAAAAAAATTACCGCAGGAGCTGAGTTGACAAACTGTCACCAAATATACACCTGGCATATGCCAAGAAGAAATATTATATGTATGGACCCTTTTGAAAATTTTGTAGGACGTCAAAACAGCTGAGATGTTCTGAATTTGGACGAGAGGACTTGCATCTATATTATTTTATTAGGGACAAGGTATTCACGTGCGTTATTAAAAGCAACACTCAGCAGTCTCAGGGCACACAGCTTTGGAGTAATTAGGCCCCATTTTATTCTTCAAAACCTAGAGTAGATCAGAATAATATACAAACACATATCTGAACTTCCAAGTAAAGGTTTCAGGAGAAAAAAAGTTGTTTTGAGTATTAGTTGAACGATAGTCAAATTCAAGACAGGAAGACACTACACTTTGGAGCGTCAACCAAATGCCTTTCAGAAAAACTTTGGAAGCAAGAAGAATATGCAACCAAAAACTCCATTCATAAAAGAATCTTTACCTTGAAACGTCTTCAATCATGAAAATGCGAAGTGGTTTCACTTCTGAAGGCATCCACTTCATAAACTCACTTCGCCAGTTGTGCAACACATTTACAGGAGTCACAATAAGCGCAGATTTCAAACCCAAATCAACACATCTCATTGCAGTGTACAGGAATGCTATAACCTGAGAAACACCATACATCATATTAACAATTAACCATTACTAGTATGCATTAATTAGACAGGAAGATAATAAGATACATGCAAATAGACTCGAGCGTGAAAAATAATTAAGTACCTGAAAAGTTTTCCCCAGGCCCATTGTATGTGCTAGAATGCACCCAAGACCTTTATCACCAGATTTCACACTGTTGATAGACTGGATAATATTTTCCCACATAAATCTAATCCCTGTAACCTGAAAATGGAAACCACGAAACTTAGAGCAGAGGTCATTTCCAATAATAAGAATTTCTAGAATAGATGAGTATGTTTAATGCCCAATAGTGCAGGTGACAAGACTAGACTATTCACTTATTACAGATGACTTTCTGAAAGAGATGAAGTATGTTATGAAATGGTTTAGGCTCAACAAAGGATGCACACAGCACACATGTTAATTCTAACCTGATGGGGTTTTAGTTTGGCAGATATGCTACGAGGAACTCTCACAGCTTCTTCGCCAATCTCCCTAGCCACATTCACTATGTAACCACTCTGTGCATCACCAAGAACCTCAGCTTCCGCACCTTCTGGAATTTTCACATCTCCCATATTGCTAATTGTTTTGTATCTGGCAGAAAACTGCAAGGACCTAAGGCGCTCCTGTCGTTCCTACGCAAAAAAAGAACCAGATGTACAATGAGTCAAGAAGCAAAAATAAGGAAACATTCAAAGCTCGGATCCAATATAACAAATATAACTGTCGAGCAAGTTAACACCTTCTCAATTGCTATTTTTCTTCTCGTATCTTTTCCTAGTTCAGCATCATCAATTATCCGCCGGATTTTCTTTTTCATTTTCTTCTTTGAGCTAAACGAAAAAGTCAAAATTAGTTGACGACATGCTGGACTTTTATACCCGCATAAATAATTTATATGTATATATGATAATACCTTACTGCTACATTGACATCAGCATCTGTATCAACAGAATTGTTATCAGAGCTGGAATCAGAGCTAGAATCGGAGCTGGAATCCGAGCTAGACTCCATTGATTTCTTATCTCCCATGGCTTTCTCCAGTTCCAGTGTCAATCTTCGCAGGGGAATTGGAGCGCAGCAGCAACAATCCCAACCAGAGGATTGAGCTTCGGACAAGTATTCGTCACCAATATTCCTCTTAATACATGATGCACAGAAAAGTTTTTCGCATGACCTACAATTTATTAAGTCCGCAACGTGTCCACACCATTCACAGTGACGTTCCAAAGAGGCATCAACCTGCTGTTAAGAGCCAACGTTTTGGTTAGAAAGAGAAACATATGGAAAGGATATTTGTTAGATTACAGCAACATTTTTATGTGATCCTCCAAATAACAAAAAGTAGTGTATGCACCAAATGAAGCACGTTACTCAAAGAAAAGCATTTGATGAAGGTAATAAAAATGAAAAAACGATTTAACAAATCTGTCATGAATCCACTACGACAAAAAAAAAATTCCTTAGTCTATATCTGGCCCATACGCAATTGCATTGTAGGTCACATAAAAATGGAAGAGGAAAAAGACATACCTTAGCAACTCTATCTTCAATTAAACGTTTGCAATCCATGCAAACTATTACATCTAAAAGGGGATGACTGTGCACTTCCACAGCTACGTTATTACAGGCAGTACACCTAAAATTGCTTGCTGGACTCTGTGAATCATCTCCCATGGTATCTATATTAACATCTGTGACGGGGATCATCTTATCTGCATCTGAATTAGACAAATTCCCGTTTTCCTCTTTGTTAACTTCATTATTTTGAAACAGAGTGCTATTCTCCGGACATTTTACTTGATCTTCAGCAGAGTCCGGCGCAATTGAATTCCCATACAAGTACGCCGAATCATCATCCCTATCCTCCGAAGTGTGTCTGATACCCTGAAATAAAACCAAATGAAGACTGCGAAGTGAGCCAAAAGATAATTCCTTCAGACCAACAAAACCCCAGTCACTGCATGCCTCAAATCTCGCTTTAACACAAGACAACCGTCACTGACAATCCAACAACAAGATGTTAAAGCTACATAGCAGTCATCTGACCCTAAAAAGTATAATCCTCATTTAAATTCATATCTTATATACATGAAATCACCACAATATTAACTAGAGGTTTTTTATAGCAAAACACAAACTATACGTGACTAAACTCTCGAGCACAAGGCTCACTAAGACTGATATCCCATTTTAGTATCTTACTCTACAGATGACAGGTGACACTCTATGTAACTAGTAACACCAAGAAGTCTTCAATAAAATATATGCTACTCTACAAGAAGAAATTCAACGAATGTGCAAAACAGACCTGTTTAGATCTTTTCTTGCGTCTCTTCCGTTTCAAACGAAGTTGAAGTTCACGATCAATATTTATATCATCCTCTTCTTTGACCTGTTGGTAATTTAATGTCATATTCAAGACGATAAATGGAAAGGCGGGAGTATCTTAAATCATATTAAGAATAAATATTTCATCGCAAACTCTGTAAAAGCAGGAACATAAACATCCAAAAATGGTAATACTTTCAAAGCAGAATGCTTATTCACAGAAATCAAAAAAGTCAAGTCAAAATATAATACCCTTATATAGTTTTTCTTTTGTTCTTCAGTGAGGGAAAGTTCTCTTTCGTTTTCCATAGCATCGGCCAAAAAAGGGTCTGCCAAACTTGTATCTATCTCTTCAATTTCCTCCACCTGAACAAAAAATTACAGTGTTAATCACTCTGAAATTATATTAAGTTGTTATCCAGCAGTACGATGGCTTTGATCTATGATTATAAAGCCCGATAATTAAAATGTCCGACTTTTTACATGAGATCTTCAACATAACTTGCATCCAAGGTAGCAAATAGTGTCATGTGCATCATCTAAATTGCTACAACTAATGGTAACCAAGTTAAAGCTCTACTTTTTTCAACCCTTTTAAGCCTGAGAGCTTAGCTTAATTTTTTCTTCTTTTAATTTTTGACTCTAACTTGCCTTACTGATTTTATACTAATGAAAACCTACACTGTAGAGTGAGTAATGTTTCCTATCCTGATATGTCACAACAACAGACCATGAATTTATTGACTTGCAAGCAGAAACTAACAAGGAAAAAATGCCTGCTTTCATAAAATGTATTATGGCAAGTAGGTCACCCAAGTAAAATCATCAAGAAAGGAGGCGCTTAATGCTTTTACTGACGTGAAGACAATTAAACAGATGAAATATAAGCAAATCATCATCAGCATCAGGGTTATCAGAAAAAAATAAAGAAATAGATGAAAATTTAACCTCATTGACTCCTGGAAATTCTAATCCCATGGCTGCAGCTTGTTGTGGAGTGCTTGCCAAGTAAACAGAAGCCCAATGCTTACTACCGAAGGAAATAGCCTCATCCCTTTTTTCCGAAAAAACTTTGTTGAGAGACGACCAGTCAAGCTCAGATGTTCCAGCTAGACTCTCTTTAACAGCATCGTCAGCAAACTTTTTCTCCAGAAAACCACTAGCTCCTTCCTCCAAAAGTTTTCCATGTCGTCTACACCAGAAAATGATTAAATATACCAACCATGACGTTCTTGAGTAATTACACTAACTGAAAACAAACAAAACAAACCCTACTTTCGGACAGGCCGGTGAGTGAGAAGAAAACTCTCTGCGTTAGCCAATGATTCCCCTGTTTCTTTTGTTACCTGAGTCCCAACCCAATGGGCTCTTTTTTTCCAAGCTTCAGTATAGCAACCATTAGGGGCTTGACTTTCGATCATTTCGTACAATTTTGGAAGTTCGATTCCAGCACCATCAAGTTGCTCCTTTGAGAAAGAAACAAAAAGGGAATATAAATTAGTACCTTCTTTTAGAGTAATAAATAAACCTTTGTATTAAATTTAGTGAAAACAGAAGAAGCAAAAACGAGCATACCAACAAATTTGCACTTTCAGTTTCAAGCTCATCAAGAGTTGCCTCCCATTCGTCTCTAAACGTCCTCATTTCAGCTTCCACAGCTTTATCCAGCTAAACAAGGCACGCTCTAAGATGTTTAACAAGAAAAGAACAAAGGAACTCGGAGCAATGATAGTGAGAGAAAGATATTAACCTCATCACCATGAAGTGTCTGTGCTAATTCCTCCCTAACCTCACTCTCTACTCTAGAAAGAGACTCTTTTTCAAGTGCTTCCTGCGCTTCTGCAGCCTAAAACACCAATGTAGAATCATAGTGGATAAAATTTAAACCATGAAGCTAAAATTAGCCTACCAAGAACTCCATCAACCAAAAGGAAGAGATTAGAAAAATACCTTACTCTCTACTCCCAAAAGATCTGAAATCAACTCGTCTACCTCTTCGTCACTCAGAGGTTTCTGCATAACAATTATTAAAAGATATCTTAGGTCATGCTATCATAACAACAACAACAACAAAAACTGACAATTGCTGACCTCAAGGTCCAACTCATCATCATTCCCAGACCGCAACCCTTCATCTTCATCTGAATTAGAAACAGAACTCTCAGATCTCAAATCAGTATCTTGCATCTCCTCATCATCATCTTGATTATTGTTTTCTTCCATCACTTCATCTTTCCTCTCCTCCCTTGCTTCTTCCACCTTTTCAAGCTCCACCTCCATTCTATCTTCTTTTATACCATTCTCTTCCTCTCTTCCCTCCATTACTAGGAGCTTCTCTTCACTTCCAACTCAATAAGCCTTAATAACCAAAACATTAAATCATAAGAATAAACTAAATTAACAAAGAACCAAAATGTAATAAAAAGGAAGTAATCAATTCAAACGAAAAGGTAATATTGATTGATTATGCGATCAAAATCATTAATCTACAGAGAGAGAGAACATTAAAACACTCTTTTAAGATCTATGAACGAACCACTCTAGTCTGATAAAGCAGAAGCCGAACAGACTTGACTTGCTGAGACGGCTTACCAATAAAGTGCAGAGAAATCACGAAAGCGATAAAAGAATATAATTAGGGTTTGTTTTGAGGGGAGAAAGGAATCTCCGGCGACGGGGTCGAGACGGTTCGCCGCGCAAAAAAAAAAAAAAAGGTTATTAGGGGACGGGGGCGAGAGAAAACGGGTTTGGTAATAAAAATTACAGCCTTCCAAATATATGAGAAATAATATATGTGTAAACAATGCAATAAAATAGATTATGAATAACTCTTGGTGTTAGGGTATTCCTTTTTATACTAATCTGGATCAGAGAATGTAGTCAGTGATAATTTTGCTAATTTTTATTAAAAGGGAAGATTAAATTCTTTACTATATATATTATCGAATTGTAATATATTATATTGATTTGTAACGAACCGCATAAGTAAGAAAATATAAAAGTATGTGCGTTAAATAAAAATGTATAAAGAAATGTAGACCATCTAAATATCATCCCCTAATTTTTGTAGGTGTGTGTCAATGTCTAAATTACTTTTTTCAGGGTGAAATCTGTCAAAGTGTTATCCGCATTTTTTTTTGGTAGGTTGATTTAGACCTTATTTCGTTTTTTTTTTCTGAAAATGATCATATGTTTTCATTGATTTTCCCTAGACATCTTTTATATATGATAGAGAATAAAGTGTTTTATAAGAAGTAGAAATGACTGAAAAAATAGATGTACGCAACTCGTAATAAAATGTTTTAAATGTGAAATCATGTTATCTAATTGAAACAATTATTAACTTTTTATATTAGGGATTTAGTATATCAAGTAGATTACTCAATTTTGGTTTGGGTGCGTTGAACCAAACCGAGCAGAGTCGGCAATATCTGAATCTAATTTAAACCGCCTGAACAAATCGAATAGAAGACGGTTCGATTTAGAAAAGGCCCAAACGAAGTTAGTTAGAGACATGAGAAAGCCCAAATAGAGCTCAAGCTAACAGTTCGATTTAGGGTTTTAAGACAAAGTTCTTTTAGGTTTGAGCTTTTCCAAGTAGGGGGGAGGCGTCTGTCGGAAGCTTAGAGGTTTTTGTGTGTGGTAAAAGATGGCGAAATACAACGAGATAGCGAAGAAGAAGAGAGAGGCGAAAGCTGATAGAAAGCGAGCTATACACGGAGATCCACTCACCAATAAACTGAAGAGCAGAGCTCCGGTTGTCTCCGTCTCCGGGAAACGTCAGAGAAAACTCCTTCGAAAATTGCGCCGAGTATGACTTTACCTTCATCTCTTGTAGTTTGTGGAATCTGTAATACATGACATTGCCATGATTAGTTTTCAAATTTTAATAAAAATGAGTTGTTGGTTGATTGAAAACAGGAGCAGAAAGAGATGGTGGAGAAGGGTCTTATAACCATGGAGGATGTTGAGATGGCTTCTTCTGATGGTACGTTATTTTTTTATCTCTGAGCTTTTGTTTTGTTGACTTCACTGATTTTTTCATTAATAATCGAGTTAGGAATAAATTCATCAATGTAGACTTGGTACCTAAGCTTCTTGTAGCAATATATTTGTAATTTGTTGATCATTTACTGTTTAGCATATTCATCAAAAGGTTATTCCTTTTGCCTTGTGTGACTTTTATAAGTTTTGTATTTTGCTGAAGCGAAAGTTTATTTTCTTCTCTCTGTTTCCAGCTGCATCAGAAGAATCGAAGAAATCTCCTAGAAAGTTTAGCGTGAAGAAAACCTTGAAGCTTAATAAACTAAAGAACAAAGGTACATCATTGTTTTATCTCAATGCTTATTACTTTGAGGCGATTTAGCGTATCGTGTAGTAGTAGTAGTAACAAGATATTGTCTATTTGTAAGCAGGCAAGAAGAAAAGCCAGAATGCCATTGGACAAGTAACTGCTGATCAGATGACGGAATGAGTGTATGTTGTATAAACCTTTGAATCAACATTAGACACGAACTTGATAAATTTTGATAGGATTTCAATTTGAGAAGTTTTCCGGAATTTATACTTCTAATATGTTTTGTCTTTTAGAAAGATCTCACTTTGTATTCTGGCGGGGATGATAATCTGGTTATTCTGTCAATGAAGTGTTTTAAATGTTTCTTTTAAACATTATTCGCAACTACATCTGAACCAAAACCCCCTGACTCAGCGAAAAAGATAGTTAACTAGCGAAAGCCAATACCTAGTGAATCCTAATTCTCAGAACCCAAAACTCTTTAATATGAAAGTGATAAGATATCAAACACCACATTTGAGAATTTGCAAATAAAACCTTAACAAAAGACCTTACGGATATTATATTAGATTGATATCCATAATGACTGACATTGTATCATTGGATATTACTTGCGCAGAAATACCTTAAATCAATTAAAAACAAGCCAATAAACAAAAGTCCTAATGAAGCTGACTGAAGAAGAAACTAGAAAGCTTTCCATGGTGCCCACACGCACGACCTTACACTCTCACTTCCATAAGAACTGAGCAAAACTCGAGAAACCATCAGAACCGGTCTTGCTCTAGAAAACCCCATGATTAACACCGGTTTTGCTCAGGGAACCCCAAAAAAAAACTAAACCCCATTAACCGGCTGTTTCAAGAACATACAACTATATGCAAACTGTACAAAGAAAATGCTTATTCAGTTATTCCCTCCCATAACCATATCATCTCCCTGCGGAGACTAATCTCTTTTCATCATTGGCGCTCATCGATGGATGAGGAACAGGGAGATCTGGGTTTGAAGTGGAGATGGCTGCTTCTTTCTCAACCGTTACAACCTTCGGTGTGTAACTAAAGTTGAGTTCTTTGTTAGCTGCAAGTGCCACAAGCTCTTTCTCTTCAAGCCCTTTGGTTGGTCCGAGACTGCACCTATCCGGACTATGCTTCGCCAACGCATCTCTAAATTTCTTAATCTAAACACAACAAAATTCAAATACCAAACCTTTAATTAATTCTGACATATTAACTCTTGCTTCAATATGGAGATGATGATGATGAGAAACGTTACCGTAGCATTGGTACAGCTAAAACTGCAGACACGACCCTGAGCGCCACGGTAGAATCGAAAAAACGGGAGAACATGGACACCAAGACTATAACACATGGACTTATGCTCCTCGTAATTCACCTGAAGAAACTGCACATCAGGGTTCTGCTCTGCCAACTGACACATCTTAGGATGAAGAGCCTTGCATCCACCACAGCCAGGAGAGAAGAAATCAACCACAACAAGCTTATCGCCAGCGTCGGTCAGAGAGTCAACGAGCTCTTGTGCTGAAGAGATCTCTCTCATGTTCTCTTGCAAACCTTTCTCCCACCATTTCTGAAGTGTCCCAATCCTCAGCGTTGACTGTATATAAAACAAATATTACACATGTTAAAGATCTTTTCCGACAGATCCAATAAACCAACAACTCAAACATGTCTGAATATTCTTTTTTTTTACTAAATAACATGTCTGAATTTTAGGATATTGTTAATTAGATCTCACATGTGTGAGTTATAATTAAATTACCTGAGCGGTAATGGATGATGATGGGAAGCTCCTTTGAGTATATAGGATCTGTTTTCCAAAGAAGTCACTGCTAAGAGGCCTCTGCTTGAGAGAAGAGAAATTCTTTTTGAAACCGAAACTCACCGGTGAGACAGAGAAGTCATCATCTACGTGGTGGTGATTCACGCAAGCTCCTTTGAAGAACAAACTCGTTTTGCTGATTACTTCCGCCATTAGAATAAAAAAAAAAGTTTAAAAATTTAGAACCAGAAGATGAACAAGAAAAGGAAGTTCTACGGAGGTAGCGTGTCCTCTCGGTAATCTTTAATCGCCAACCAAGTTTCGCTTTTTTCTTCTTTCACACGAGAAAGTTTATAAAAAGATGGAAAGGGAAAGTGTAAAGAGATTTCTGGACGAGAAGAAAGTGTTTGCCTTTTCGTTATGTGATCAAGACCGTTGAATTTGGATATGGAAAATTAGGATCTGATGGTTGAATAGTGATTGTGAGTTGGAACCAGTCAGATTAATGGATAAGGTTCACACGAATTTAGCGGATAAAGTAACAAAATTATCTAAACTTGGAATCGGATTATGTTTTGTGTAATTTATTTTGCCACACTGACTTTAATTAAGAGTACTTTTAGTAACTTACTTTACTAAAATAAATATATATTTGAACAGTTTCTTTGTTTTAAACTTTTAATACATCGGTTTTCATGTTTGAAGTATATAAATCGATAATTTGCTTTTCACGTTTGATGAACTAATCTGTTAGAAAGATAACAAAACTGAAATTATAATGTTTAAATTTTATAAATTAAACGAATGGTGGAGACATAAAAAGGTTATCCGCCTCGTAAATGTTTACGTAACGAGAGTGTATAAACGACGTTCCAAAATAAAGTAGTGATGGATATTTGGATTTGGAATTTAAGGAAGACAGTTCGCCAACACATCGCCCACGTGGGTCTCACTCCCTCCCTCCACCAAATTTCCCCTAAATATTGCACAAAAGGGGCATATTTAACTCTTGTATTGGAAATAGAATTTTACTAGTTTATTGTTGCCGGGCCAAAACATAAAAAAACTGTGGTTAGTGTTGATACAAAATAAATTTAATCTTGAGAATGGTTACAAACAAAATTTCCAACTTTCTTAAAGTATTCAAATTTGATCAGATGCAAAAAAAAAACTTGACCACATGTTTTTCAACATGAACATCACAATACAAGAGCCACATTTTATAAAATGATGACAATACAATAACCAACAATGAAAATTGCCAAAATCTCAAGTAGGTCGAAATTCATATCGGTTCGGTTCGAGTATTTCGATTATCGGGTAGTTCGGATGGGAGTTTAGAAGATTCATTTATTACTTGACATATTTTCAGTTCGGTCAGATAGTTTCAAGTACAGTTCGGATAGTAAAATTAGGAACCAAAAAGTATCCAAAAAATCTGGTTCTCATTTAGTTCCAATTCCGTTTTGGTTAATTTGGATAGTTAGTGTTAAATATTGGGTATTTTAGGTAATATAGTGAATAATTACAATAATTTAGATAATCTAATAATTGGATTATTTTGGATATTTAGGATAAAACTATCTTGAAATTTTGAATAGTTTGGATACCGTATAATAATTTAATTTTTAAACTATTTTCGAATACTTTTAATAAAAATTTAAATTTTAAATATATATTAATTTATATTCTATATATAATTAATTTGTATATATTCGGGTATTCGTTCGGTTTTCAGTTTGGTTTTGTTATTTCGGATATAGAAATATAGAAACCATTCGGATATTTGAAAGTTTTGGGTATCTTGGTTTGGTTTTTGGTTTCGGTTTTTATGCCCAAGCCTAAATTCTCAAGTCGACCAAAACACTTTATTATTGCAATGTAGCCCCTGTATTTTTTCATCAGTCACAACGAATACAATAAAATAAAAATAAAGAAGAAAAGCTGTCTTAATCTAAAGTCGGCAAAAGCACATTAACATATAAGTAATCACACTTAAGCCCCTATATTCTTTCCCGTTTCGAAATCTTCACTCAACTAAAAAATCAATTTATCTCAGAAGCCGATTGACAAACGTACGATCTAACGGATAAATCTCCAAATATAGCCGTTGAAGAGAAAAACAAAGAAAAAAACAGTAACGGCTATATTTCCTCCACTGATTAAAAACGTTACCACTCAACTCCTTTCTTCACACCACCAACACATCTCTCTTCTCACAAACTCTCAAACTCTCTCTCAAGTTAGTTTCGATTTTGAGTTTTCAGTTGCAAAGATGAACGACCTAATGACCAAATCATTCACAAGCTACGTCGACCTAAAAAAATCAGCGATGAAGGATCTCGAATCCGGACCCGACTCCTCCTCCGATCTCGAGATGACGAACAAAACAGACTCTCACCTCTCCTCTTTCCTCGAAGAAGCTGAGCAAGTCAAATCAGAAATCTCTCTAATCAACGAAACACTCTCTCGTATCTCACAATACAACGACGAGAGCAAATCCACGCACAAATCAGACTCCGTGAAGTCTCTCCGCAACAAAATCTCCAACGAGATCGTCTCCGTTCTACGAAAGGCCAAATCGATCAAATCCAAGCTTGAGGAGATGGACAGAGCGAACCGGGAGATTAAACGGTTATCCGGAGGAAATCCGGTTTACAGAAGCAGAGTGGCGGTTACTAACGGTTTGAGGAAGAAGTTAAAAGAAGTGATGATGGAGTTTCAAGGGCTGAGGCAGAGGATGATGAGTGAGTATAAAGAGACCGTTGAGAGACGTTACTTTACCGTTACTGGTGAGAGACCTGACGAAGAGATGATCGAGAAGATTATTAATGATAGAGGTTGTGAAGAGTTTCTCACGCAAGCGATTCAGGAGCATGGGAGAGGGAAGGTTTTGGAAACTGTTGTTGAGATTCAAGATAGGTAACTGTAACAGTCCAATTATTTAAAAAAAAAAATCACGTCCCATTCGTGTGCGCATCTTTACTAATTTGAATTGTTTGTAATGAATATTTTGAAGGTATGATGCGGCGAAGGAGATAGAGAAGAGTTTGTTGGAGCTTCACCAGGTGTTTCTTGACATGGCTGTGATGGTTGAAGCGCAAGGTGAGCAGATGGATGAGATCGAGCATCATGTGATGAACGCTAGCCATTATGTTAAAGATGGAGCTAATGAGCTCAAGACTGCGAAGAAGCATCAGAGAAACAGTAGGAAATGGATGTGTATTGGTATCATTGTGTTGCTTTTGATCATTCTTGTTGTTGTCATCCCCATCATTACCAGTTTCACCTCTTCTTGAGTTTGCACACTTAAAGGATGTCTTAATCCTTTTGTGTTGGTTGTGTATCCAATGAATGTTATTGCCTTATATGAACTGAACAAGAGTATAATATGTATAACAATATAGTTTTCAACAACAACCTATCTGAACTTTCTGATTGGTAAAGCTTTTCCAAATAATTTCTCAACCTCATTAGCTTCCATTTTGAGCTCATCCAACAACTCCATCTCCTCTTTACTTAACCCCCTCAAGAAATTCTCTTCGTCTTGCTTTAGTTCGTTAAAACCTTCAGCTAATCTCTGGAACAAGGTCATCTCAGTTTTACCAACTTTCTCCAAATCCTTCTCTACCTCCTCTTCAATCTCTTCAACCTCTTTTACTATAATCTTCTCCCCTTCTTCCACTGTCTTCTCAAGTCTCTCCACCAGAGGAGGTTCAGGACCACAAGTGTTATCCGTTTTTATGAAAGTGCTAAAGTCTCTACCTACGCTTTTAGCTGCTTTTTCAAGCTCTGGTACAATGCTATTCGGTAAAGAAGCGCTTCTTGTGTACACAACCGCACCACCATATCCATCCCAAGCATCGTTTCTCCCACGGTAGTACACAAAGATATAGTCGTCAGGTTTGTTCTCTATCTTTGATGACAGTATATACCTGCAAGACTCAAACTTCTTAGGCCAAAGAAGAGAAGCAAGCAATGACTAGTAAAATCTCATGTTGTTTACCAGTCATCTTGATAGTGAAGGTACTCGTTGTCATGATTTAAAAAAACAGCAGGCTGGTTAGGATCTTGCACGAACTTCTGAACAGTTGACCTAGTAAAGAAACCACTGTCTGGTGTCTTTATTCTCCATGAGATGTTTCCAACGAGCTTCCCATTTTCTGTGTGGAACTCATGGAGCTGGCAGTCAAATGCATCAAAGGTTGGATTCAAGCCACTTGTGATGTACCACTTGCCGTTAAAGTCATTGATGTTGAAGCTCTTGACGAGAACAGAAGGGTCAGGAGCTGGAAACTCTCCGAGATCAGATTTTCTAGGAACACATTTTTTTCTTGATACAGCGCATTCGTTGAACTCATCAACTACACTGTTCTCGAACAGATCACCACATTTAATCTGAAAATATAGCACAAACCAATTGGTCTCTTCTCTCACAAGTGAGAAGCTAAATGATGTGTTAAAGATAGGTAAGAAACCTGGCACTCGGTTTCATCTGGACGGTTGTTACAGGTCTGGAGGCAAGCGACATTGGCTGCACAGGAAGGGTTGGCAATGCACTTTGCAAGTTCTATCCTAACAGTTTATATGGTCGGACAATGTGAGATACATACACTTCTCACAAAAAAAATCAGAGAGTGGTAATCAACTTAAATCAGCTCCATCTAGATCAATGTTCAAAAATAGGAGTTAAGTAGGTGTTTAGTAGATAACTAACGATTAGCCGGATTATTCTAGGCCTAGTCGTTAACAAAATATTGGTTTGTTTTTATGTATTTTTCATTTACATTAGATATTTTAGTTTTAGTTACAAAGTTATTTTGATAATAAAATTAGATATAGAAAAAGAATTAGACAAATTTGTGGATATGAACTAAAATTATTTCTTGATTTAAGAGATTTAGATCAATTTTGGATTGATTTGAACCAATTTATATTGTTTTTATCGATTTATAACAGTTTAAATCGATTTGAGTCGGAATTTAAGAAAATTATTCTGCTATGGCCAATTTGCCTACTAAACCGATTTTTAGAACACTGGTCTAATCTAACACTAGCTTCATCTAGGTGCACACTCTCACAATATCAAACCGGTAGAATTTGAATAAAACCATACAATTCAAAGCAAATGCAAGTTCAATGCATATAATATCATCTAACTGCACACTACTAACAATATACTGATGCAGAGATTTACCTGCACCCCTTTAGCAAGCATGCGCAAGTTTTGAGAGCATCAACTGCATCTGCAGATGGAACTATGAGAAACGCGCAGGCTACAACACCAACAAGCTTTAGCATAAATGGAGTGGTTATCTCTTTGAAGGCATTTCTTGATGTCAATGCCACAATATCAAATACTCCCTGACATATGATTAGGCATTAGGAATGACCAAAAGCATGAACTGAAAAAAAAAAACATTGAAAGAAACAATCTTTTTGTTTTACCTTAGAGATTCCTGACCTGAATCCAGACAAGGGTCGTGAAGATTTCGCAGTTATTCTTAGATTGGAGTTTTGGGAAGAAGGAAAAATCTTGACCAAGAAAGTGCCTTTGATTTTCTTTCTTAGAAGTTTGTTACCATCGTCACTTGAGAAGAATCTCATACGGTCGTGACATGGTGAAGTGAAACAATGTGTAGATACTGACATACTTTGAGTACCTAATGTTCCTGGCAGAGAGATGACTGTTACAGAAGATTGAAAGCTCCGCGGGAAGCAGAGGAAGAGGATAGAGAGAGAGGGAGAAAGATATAAGGATGTGAAGACATGCTTTTGGATAAGACTCTTCTTGTGGATAATTAACTATCTGCAATTTTAAGATATTTTTTCCAACAAAATATCTTATTTGTTAAAGTTCACACTATAATAATTATTATATAATCATAAATGTAAAATGTATGAAAAATATGTGGAAAGAATTATGAAATCATTTAAGAAAGTTTATACAGGTTTTAAACTTTATTGTACAACATAAAATGTAACTAATATTTTGACGCTAATTTCTTAATTTAAAAAAAAAATTGATTAGTTTAACAAGTTTTTTTGGTCAATATTGCTAACATGTAATTTTCCTGACTATTTGGCTCCACTTTTGAAGGCAAATAAGTTGTATATTTTTCTCTTCTTTGTCTTTAGGAAGGTCTAATATTTATATAGTGCATATTTTAATTTTAATTTTAATTTAGTACATATGATTTCACCTGCTTGCATCTGGTCACAAAATAATATTCTTTTGTTTTTACGTTCAGATAATATTTTATTTAAAATGAGATAATGTTTTCAATTTTTAACGTAACATTTAATACTTTATTTTTTATAATTATTTATATTTTATATTATTATTAATTGAATTGTGTTTTCATAGATAATAAAATGTGATATTTAAAAATAATTAAAAATATTTTTGTTTAAAAAATAAATATTATTTTAATTTGTATGTTTATTTATAAAATGTCAAGTAATATAAACGAGAAAATGCTAAAAAGAAAAATTGTTACTGCTTGTGAAATGAATTTAACTCAGTTTCTATGCACAAAACAGGCCTTAGCAAATGATACAATGATTATGATTCTTTTGTCTGCGCAACTAAGTACTGCTGCAGATGACTGTTTCTCTTCTTGTTCTTGAGCTTCCTGAAAGCAGAGGATTCTATCTGCCTCACTCTCTCCCGGCTCACACCCATCGTCTCACCAATCTCTTGCAACGTCTTCATCCTCCCATCCTCCATCCCAAACCTCCAACGTATCACCTGCTTCTCCCTTGTACCCAACGAGTCCAACACTTTGTCCAAGTCCTGCCTCATGAACTGCTTCATCAGTATATCCTCTGAAGTTTCTGCTTCAGGGTCTGATATCACTTCCTGCATTCACAACAAAGGTTTTGAGGACAAAAAGAAGACTGATGTATGATGTGTTATGTAAGGAGGGGACAAACCGAAGGTTTGAGGTTTAGATTGATTCCTATCTTCTGGTCTAGCGACCTTGGAGGCTTAGGAGAGAGTAGAACCGCCATGAGCCTCTTCATAGACAACCCTGTAGCCTCCGCAACTTCTTCATTCTTTGGTTGCTTACCTGTTTCACTATAAAGTTGCTTTCGCGCCTCTTTCACCCGGTATGTTGCTTCCACCATGTGAAACTGCAAATCATCCCATCAAAATGTTTCTCATCATAACATCTATTAAATTACTGCGGAGGCTTACAGGCAATCTTATCATTCTGGACTGGTCAGAGAGAGACTTCCTCACTGCTTGCTTGATCCACCAATGTGCATAAGTTGAAAATTTAAATCCCTTTGTAGCATCAAACTTCTCTGCTCCCCTCACAAGCCCTCTGCATCCTTCCTGTGAAGCAAGATGTTCTTGTAACAGATGTAACTATTACACAACAGATAAGGAGGGACAAAGTAGAACCTGAACAAGATCTTGGAAGTCCATTCCAGCTCCTTGGTAATTCTTTGCAATCGAAATGACGAGACGAATGTTGCTTTTAATCATTCTGTCCTTGCATTGTGTGCCGTGAGTTATACGTTTCCGTAAAGTTTTTTGATCGACTCCAGCAGCAGAAGCCCATTGTGAAAAGGTTGGCTGATGGCCACAGCGCTCAGTAAGCTCTGCTTGAAGTCTTTCCAACTTCAGAAGGTCCTAAAATGAAAGACCCAAAGTTTGTGATCAAGAAACCACAATGCAGAAACAAGATGAGAGTTACACATAAAAAGGAAAAAAATGTTCAAAATTGAAATATACCACTAATTTTAGGCATGCAGGTTCGGTTAGTGTTCGGTTTTCAGTTAATTAAGTTCAACATAAATCTTATTAACTTGAAATAAAGTTTGTTTTGGTTCGGTATTTGGTTAGTTCGGTTTTTGAAAATTCTACCAAAGTTTTTGATTTCGGTTAGATTTTGGTTTAATTTTGTTAAAATTTTGGATAATTCAGTTAATTTTGTTTATTTTTCGGATAAATTCGGTTTGTTCAGTTTTGAAATTTGGTTAGTTCAGTTAGTTCGGTTTGGTATGGCTTATTTTCTAAAAGAACAAAACCCAAATAACCAATTGCTGAACAAAAAAACGAATGTTATAGAAAATCTACCGAATCAAACAAAAGTTTTACGGAACTAACCGAAATTTTGGTTCGGTTTGGTTCAAAATCCCAGGCCTAACTAATTTCATCACTCTCAAACATTTTTTTAAATATTTTCCAAACATCCCTTTCCCTTAGAATCTGGAAACCTAAGAAGGATGAGTTTATATGTATGTGACTATTAGAGCATCTTCAACTCTACTCCATAATTTACTATAAAATGAAATGATGAAGAAACAAAAAACCTATTATTCCATTTATAAAGTAATTACTTTTTTGTTTCTTCATACTTCATTTTTGCTCTAGGAGCCATGTATAGAAAGGGAAGTGGTTAGTTTATAATTTGGAACATCAATGACAAACCTGTATTCCTTCAGAGAGCTGTTGTTCTTCTCTGGCAGTGAGAAGCTTGGAACTGCTTGTTGTCATTCTTAGATAACGCAAAGGATCATTATTGTCAATCTCCTGCGAAACAACACGTTTCTTTCTAGAGCTCGAACCAGTCTTCACAGACTGCATACCTGATGCTGTTTTCTCTAACCCTTTAGCCCTCCGAGCCTTCCTTTCAGTTTGGCGCGTAGATCTCACAGCTGAACTCACTTCCTCCAGAGGCTCAACAACATCTTGTTTCTCTGGAGTTAATTCATCAGACGACTCTTCCTTACATTCAGGTGCTGCAGGTGCAGTGACTCTATCACTCACAACTCCGGTGTCTGAAACCGCTAGATGTCCCAATATGCCAGCACGTTCCTTCTCAGTAAACTGGTCCCACTTTGAGCGTTTGTCGGCTGTTGATGAAACTGATGGCTTCGTGTTATGACTGTTTCTAAATGACGTGGCATCTTTGGCAACTTTGAGAGCGGCTCTAGCAAGAGCGAGTGCTTCAGCTGCTGCTGCCGCAACAACTGCTTCATCACTTGTGAGGAGTGTTTCAGAGGCTAAAGCTTCTAAATACTTTGCCTAGAAACAAAAAACAAGGCTATCAATAATCTTACTGAACCTTTGGCTATAATGATTAGAACGTGATGGCAATATAAGAGTTTTAACTACCTCAGTGGAAGGACTAGTGGTTCCTGTGTAACTCCATTGCCTGTCTGATATTCTTGAATCTGAATCAGTATCGAAAGAAGGTAGTCTAAGCTTGGCCACATTAAGAGTAGAAGTTAACAACGGTGGTGAAGTGGATACAACACATTGCGGTTGGAAGAAGACTGAACTCTTACTGTGTTTTGCTGCATCCGAATAGTTGTGAGAAGAATGATTAAGATGACATATCAAGTATCTTGAAAACGTGTTTATTACGTAATCTCTTGTTATAAGCCACCACAAAAGTTTGAGATTATATCACCCTATCAACTAAAAACTAAAATTGGCTACTATTCAAACATAAGGGGAAGCTCTAGGCTAATACAATCAGAACTAAAGAGACTAAAACACTGCAGTTTCCAAGTCAAGGCTACTTTAGAATGTAACATGAGAATGTAAATGAGAGAGATAGAGAAGAAGAGAATGCTTACAGACAGAGTAAGAGGTTCTGAAGTGAACAGAGAAAGAATCAGGTTGGCACTTGAAGTTAGGAAGAAGACAAGAAGACATGCTCTTTTCCGGCTAAATTCGAAAGCTAAGTCTTCTGACCATTGACAGGACGAAGTGAAAGCCGTTTAAGAGATTGGAGAGAGGGAGAGAATGGTGTGAGGAAACTGGTGATAGGCGGATGAAGACGATAAACGGATAAAGCTTTTCTGCTTCATTTTTTTCATTCAACTTTCAGTTTGTTGGGCCTATCATTGGCCCATTTGGACATTAAATTTTCAGTGTAGGCCCAATCTCCTTTTTTATGGGGAAAAAATTTGTTACCTACACAAAATTTATTATAGTACGGTAAAAACCATCTAATCTATGAAAATGTGTCAACCACTACACTAAGTTTATGTTAAATACATGACATCACAAACAGATTTAATTGATTTTAATTTAAGTTAACAGGATCAATCTGTAATTTATTAAAAATCAGTTAAATCTGATTGTGATAAACTGGTATAGTGGTTGACACATTTTCATAGATTCGATGGTTTTTACCATATCCAAACTTCGTGTAGTGAGGCAACACCTAGCCAATGGACTCTTAGACCAGGCTGACCTCATCGGAGCTCTAGAAAAACCACATACAGCTACTGATTTCAGGTAGACTCGCCGTATAGAACCGAACAAAGTTCAGATACGCATAGAAAGATGAGAGGAGGGGATAAAATGGCTAGGGATTTGAGTAATCGAAAGAAACAGAAGAAAAAAAGTAGGAGGTCTCGTCAAACATAAATATTTTCTTTGTTTCAAGTTTTGGTTATGCAATGAGAAATTATATTCTTTTTTTTTCTCAATAGGAAACTACACTTCTGAATCTGAAATGAAAAAGTTATTTTCTTGTACATTCTTTCCTAAATTCGTTGGTTGGGCTAATGGATAAAATGATGCATAGCTGACACAAAGCAGCAGCTATTTGCTAGTGTCTGCAGCCTATCAGAGGCAAAACAAGAAAGAAATTGGTACAGAGATGAGTGGGGTACATGGCCAATTAGTGTATGATATGGGTGTATACACCCTAACTACTCTAATTTAAATCTATAAAACGAATTTAAGGGGTGGTACTGAATTAAAGAGTTTACTAGACTCAATAAAAAATAGGGTAACTACCAAAAAAAAAAGACGGTAAGTTTCTACATAGTCTTCGATCTCTTTGTTGTGGTGCGTCTTACAATGTGTTATTGCTATAAAATTCTCATAACTTGCAAAAAAAGGAACTAAAGTGAAAGCTTCAAGACGTGTTAGGAATCTTCGTCCTTATCACCTCCGGTGATAATGTTCATAAGTGTCTTGGATGCTCTGCCTATTGCGTGAGAAGTCTTCTTGGCTGCACCAGCCACAACAGGTTGCAGTGATATTTCTGGTAAACTTGCTCTCTCATCAATCATTGCTGGAAAAAAAAACAAATATGAAAAGTTGCCATTAAGATCACGAAACGACAAAAGCTTACAGAGAGTTTGCTGGTGTGCAAGAGCTCCAATCTGTCGGATTCCAGCTTCAGCTGCTTGAACCGCTTTAGCTGAATTGTTTACCCCTTCAGTTACTTCATGGCTGAAACCATTTTCACACCATAATCATGATATCAACCAAAGATGATGAATCAATCTGAAGCAAGTGTGGAAACATGTAACTTTCAAAAGTTGGGATGATCAGACAAAAAGAAAAGAGCTTTTAGTGGTAACCTCAATTCACTTAATTCAAGAGTAAGATCGCTTATTTCCATGCCGGAGAGCCTTATGGCTGCCAAGGTACTAGGCAATTCTCGACGGGCAGTGTCGGCTAACTTAGCAAAGGAAGAGGCAGCTCTACCCATGGCCTGAGTAGGACAGGATAAATTTACAAAACAATATTTTTAAAACAGATATCAAGTCAAGAGCAAATAAAATACAAATAAAGAAGACTAAATGTAAGGGTTTAGTTCAATGTATTATCTGTTACTGCACTCTAGTGTGTTGCTTTCAGTGTTAATATTAGCTAGCAGCAAGTGTGGGTTACCATGAGGCTACTTGAAACAGTTCTTATATAAAATGAGTGGTGAAGCATTAAAGTATAATACAAATGAAATTCCAAGTTGAGTAAATAAAAGAGATGGAGAGAGAGAGAGAGTTACCAGAAGTGTGGGAACTGCTGTGATAACAAAACTTGCAAAAGCAACTGAAGTCTGCAACACATCAAAAACATCAACTTTAAAACAAAACAAAGAGAAGAAAAGCGAAGTGGTCGAAGAAGAAGAAGACAAGTCATCATTGTCTTTTATTACAGTGCAAGCGATGAAGGACAAGAGAAGAAACGCCTGATCGCTTCTACTCATCATCTTGCCTAATGAACTGATTAAACGCGGAGGAGAAACAGAGCTTCCAAGTTGCATCCTAAAACCGTTGATGGATTGATCTTCCAAGACACTGATCGACACACCATCAGAAGAAGAGCTCGAGCTCTTCTCTGTGTTTGAATTCAAAGACATAGTCACAAAACCACCACCGCATCTCTTTGCTTGAATCTTGAAGATAACTCGGTTCGAACTTGTCCGAGAAAGAGAACGAATCGTTGTCAGAGAAGGAGCTGTAGAAATCAATCCGATAGATTTCATAGCTGATGAATGAATTTGGTTTCCTTACTGCTGCAACTCTTCCCTTCTCTTCCTCGAAGTCCCCGCTTCCTTTTTACTTCGGTCTACACCGGTTTAGAATCTGATGGATTAAATCTCCGGTTTAGAATTGGTTGGAGTAAGGAAAGTCTCCGGTTTAGAATTGGATGTGTAGTATAAGGGATAATTAACAACATTTCTTTTCATTTAACCTTTCTGTGTTTGATGAGTGAAATGTGTTGGTTTAGTTGGGTCAAAAAAATAAAAAGAAATTAGAATATACAAAATGTAAACCGGAATCATTAAACCAAGTATTGCAAACAAGTGAGGTCTAAGAGTTCTTCAGAGCTGATAAAGCATCTTTAGTGGTGGCCGAGATGACAGCATCCGAAGCATTTGGCAAGTAATAATATTTTCCTGCCACAAATAAACATTCCAATGGTGAGATTTTTGATTTGTCTGCTTTTTTAAATAAGGAAAAAAAAATACAATCTCTGTTGAACCAGTTAAAGATACAAACCTTGAGCAACTCTTGCAATCTCCTTGGCGAAACCAGTTGAAACAAACTTGTTCTCAGTATCAATCACTAGTAGAGACATTCCAGCCTTGTATATCTTCCCTGCAACTTCTAGAATCTCATCCTGTAACGATACAAAGACCTTCAAGAGTTAATCACTGCTTCATCTGCTTCTTTCAAATGTAATAAGAAGCTTTGTTTTTTACCTTCAATTCTTGGGACGTGGGTCTAGGAGCATCTGGGGCTATACCCTCTGGATCAGTTGATCTTTTCAGTGTAATGTTGGCTCTACCGTCTGTTATTGCAACTATCATTATACGCCCCACATCACCACTCTTCTCTGCGTTAAGTCCCACTCTTACAGCCTACATAAAAATTTTTGTATATCAACCTATTAGGCTGACATACACATAGTGATGAAGAGACTGTAATATATGGCATACCGTGGTTAGACCATGAGCAAGAGGAGAACCGCCACCACAAGGAAGTCTCTCAAGACGATTTCTTGCCATTGCTATAGATCTAGATGGGGGTAACAGCACTTCCGCAGCATCTCCTCTGAAAGGAATAATCGCAACCTATACCAAATCACTTGAGTATGAGTCTCATCCCAAAGGCCCAATCGATTTAAATCAACAAGCACGTTTACTATTCAATAGAGTAAACCTTTACCTGATCCCTGCTAGTATAGCTCTCTGCAAGCAATTTGAGTGCAGCACCTTTGGCGTTTTGCATACGATTCAATGCCATGCTGCCACTTGCGTCAACCACGAAAATAACCTGACGTACAATAATGGTAAGCCAGAAGCAGTAATCAGATATTATCTATACTTTCACTATTCTATAGTAAATTGAATTAGTCACATCATAGAAGCGATATGACATTCATGCATCTATATCAAGCTTCATCCATTTTCCATTTTTTTGTTCATCATGCAAACATCTTGTGTATAAAAATCTAACGTGAGAATGATTTTGATTCAAGGAAACTGTATAGAATCTTTCAGAGAATGCATGGGGAAGATTCAATACCAGGGCCCCAGCTTTCCTGGCCATTCTTTTGGCTCTCATATCTGTTTTCTCGACAAAGACTTTCCTAGTCCCTAAAATATCTTTCTCTCTGCGCAATTTCTGGTATGGTGCAGCTGCTCTCAGGGTTGCATCCACAGCTAATCTTTTTACTGGACCCTGTCAATGTAAAATTTGTTAAGGAGACTGTATGTTTGGGAGGTTGATCACTTCTATTTGTCGAGACTGAAATAGCCATTTGGAAGCTTCACTACTCATGGGGGAATCAAACTAATTATATTCTACAGGTGTTGTGTTCTACCAAGAAAGTAAGGTAAGCAGGATTTATGCATTAATTCCCGGTTAAAATGGACCTAGAGAACAAACCTTTGGAAGCATTGGCTTTATATAGCGTCCTCTGTCTTCTGAGAATATGACATTCTTTGCTCTTCCAGCTTTACCCTTACGTCTCTGAGCTTGTTGAGCGAAGAAGAGGAGCTTCTCATCCACCAAACCGCCCTCAGCGTCAAAGATAAACTCCTCAGGTATTTGGTCCTGTTGCTGCTCATTTTCATTTTCTTCATTGTTTTCATCCTACATTGGTAAATGATTTATACTTTAGAGAACCTAGTTCTTGTGTCCAACAAAAGACAATAATATATGCCTAATCCACTGACCTCTTCTTGTTCTTCCTCTTGATCTTCTTCATTTTGTTCTTCTCCAGCATCATTACTTTGCGGAGGAGGTGGAGGAGGCGGTGGTTGGTTCTCTTGATCAGGTGGTGGATTCTCAACTACGTCTGAACGAGGAAGAATGACTAGTTCAACCTATTATATTAAACAACAATTGCAAATCAGTATCTGGAAAATTATATAAATACTCCATCCGAATCATTATAATGCGTCATTCTAAAATGCCAATTAAAACTTCTGTTAAGATGTCAATAAGAGTACTTAACGGCCTTTCTGAGGTCATCAATGGTGACTTTTTCACGCCCTTCAATTGCAGCTAAGCACTTCGCCACACGGGCAGCATATAGTTCAGCGCGGTGTCCCTGTATCATAAAATTTGTTATTGGAGGACGGAGTTTTAATTTATTTCTAGCTTGTCATCGACAAAAAGAAAAAACAAGCAATTAGGGACCAAGTAATCCAAACACGACACATCATAGTGATATGATCATAAAATGGTGAAACATGACAGTCCACCGCGAGACAAAATCACACCAGGCCAAGCCCCTCATTGTCCAGATTTTTTTAAGAAAATCAACTCTATCAATATTTAGGATACGATGATTATCTTTCTACTTGCGTTGAGCAATTTCTTGCATTCCATCTCATACCTTATTTATCCCTGATTCAGGACTAATAGACTACACTAGTTTAAGTCTATAAGTGACATTATCTTACATACATCTTGTTTTCTCTTTCATTTCTATCTCCACTCTTGCATAAAAACCGTTACTATACACTACAAAAAAAAGTAATTAAGAATTTGCATCACACCTGAACACCACCTCGCATAGCTTCCAAAACCAGATACTTCAACTGATCTTTAGTTATCTTAACATCTTTCAAGTATTCTCTAGCCAATATAATCTGTACCAAGAGAAAATGCACCGAGTTATGACTGAAAAAAGTTTGATAAGAACTCTTAATCGATTTAAAGGTACCTGCGTCTTTGCTGTTTCAGTCTCTTCATCCACCATTCTAAAAACCTCATTACTACGTTCCTGAAACTGTGTGGCAATGCCAACTGCTGCAACACGATCCTCAAAACTCATAGGAAGGTCTGCACTGCAAATGTTAACATCATCATGTAAAAAGAGAAAATAATAGGAAACTGCCCAAAAGAAACAGACAATATATTTAACTCAAGATTCAAAAAAACTCCAGAAATACCTTAAGTTGATAGCAACACGGTCCAACAAATGCTCTCGAACAGCACCTTCTTCAGGGTTATAAGTAGCAATCAAAAGTGGCTTACATGGATGCCTAAAGCTGATTCCTTCTCTCTCAACAATATTAACACCATCCGTCAATACATTGAGAAGCAAATTACTAATGCCCTCATCCAAGAGATTGATCTCATCAACATACAACACTCCCCTATGTGCTTCAGCCAAAAGACCAGGCTGGAAAACAGTCGTCCCCCTTTTCACAGACTCCTCAACATCAACAGACCCAATAAGTCTATCCTCTGTAACTCCTAAAGGAATCTGTGCAATACAAATAACAGAAAGAAAAAAAGTAATAAAGAGAATAGTATATGTGATATCTCGTAAAAAAAAAAAAAACTAAAAAATGTTACCTGAATGAAAGGAGATTTAACAATCTCAGTCTTAATAGTATTATCAGCATTATACTCTACTTTCTCAGCTAATTCATCTTCCCACCTACATCATAAAAATAGACAAAGACATAAGGAGAGACATGAAGTGAAAGAGGGACAACAACAACAAGACATAAAAGATTCTTTACTCATCAGGACAAGCAGGGTCAGCATTTGAGATAGAGCCAACAACAACTTCAATAGGAGGGAGAATAGCGTGTAGCCCACGAGCCATGATTGTTTTAGCAGTCCCTCTACGACCTGAAATAGCAATCCCTCCGATTTCACGATCAACGGCACCAAGTAAAAGAGCAGTCTTTATCCCTTCCTAATAACAGAAACAAAGAGAATCAAACTAAAAACCCTAATTTCAAAAAAATTAACAAATTGCAGCAAAAACTAAAGTTTTTTTGAGAATTTTCTCTGACTTGGCCAACGACGGCGGCTAAAGGGAAGAACTTTCGGCCATAGTCGGAGATATCAATGTCTGAGTTCGACGCAGCTACTCCGTTTGGTGATTCGGCGATGGCATTAGCGGAGGAGGCACGGACGGTGAAACGGTGGGACGTGGCTCTGTTTCGTTTGGTGGAGAGGGAGAGAAACGGAGGTTTGGGTATGAAGTTGGAGCGGAAGAGATGGTAGGTTGAGACGGGAGATGATGCAGCGACAGGGGTCATCGCCATTGTTTGAAGATGAATGAGGAGGAGGAAGAAGAAGAAGAAGGTTGAGTGTGTGTTTCTTTCTACAGTGTTTTGGAACCTTATCAGCTTTTATTTTCGGTTCTATCCTTTATCTAGTCATCGCTTCCTGATTGGAGGACTTACTCAATTATAAGATTTTTAATAAAATTTTAAACTTTTATTAACATTTTATATATAAATTGTTTGGAGGTTGATATATTATTACATTTTCTACTAGCGAAAAATATGATTTAACTCCTCAATAATTGAATTTTTTATTATTCAAATGTATAAATGTATGTACTTTCCATACATTTGGGAGATAATGTTAATGTTTTGCGGGTTGTGCCTTTGATCGTCTCTGTGAACATAATCACAAAAGATTTTTAATTTATAAACAAGCTAAGCTCTAAGATAATTTGATAACACAAGTTGAACGCAGACTTATTATTCTTTTTTTCTAACTTCCCTTTTATTAAAAACGCAACCAAAAAATATCAGTTACAAATTTGTACTAGATAGAACAGTTAACACTAATCCTAACTTTACAAAAAAAAAATCAACAAGGAGAAGTAAAGATTTTTCAAAAAAGATCCCTCAAAAATACTTAACCAAAAATTAAGAGGAATTGTTGTTGATACCCTTATGCTTCAAGACAACAGGTCTAGTCGGAATTTCATAATTTGTTGAATTTCCTGAAAGATCGTATGAGTTGGTTTACACAATCCCGTGTGCAGTTTCGAGTTCCTTTTCTTCCAAACTACATAGATAATCATAATAGCATGAAAGATCAGCCTTACAATGAGCAACACATTAGCGTCTAGTGTTGGGTCTTTCAGCCATCTCAAGTACTTTTCGAACAAGGTGGGAGACACAAGATAAAGGCGAGAGCAAAAGAAAGATCAAATCTCAAAACTATAAGCAAGATCAAAAAATAAATGTTGCCTTGACCCCTCAGAATCCGCACACAAGAGATAATCCAGAGATACCTTCGTCTTCCATCTCCACAGTCTATCTCTCGTAGACATTTTATTCCTGGTCACAATCCAAGAGATGAAAGCATGTTTAGGTATCCTACCCTTGAACAAGATCTGCTCCTGTCAGAAGACCAGTGGGTTTGGCTGACGAATTATACGCCATGCTTTGGATGGTAAAAAAGAAGACGAAGGAAGAGTCTCAACAATCCACATTTCGTCAAGAAATTGAGTAATCAACACTGGCGAGGGGAGACACTGCTTTCTAAAGGCACTGAGCCACCATTCTCCATTAACCAAAGCATCAACAATTGTCACCTCTTTAGCCAAACCCGAATCAAGAGGACCTTTTTCACCAATGAGATGGATAAGAAGGCCAAACTTTATCCAATTATCAAACCAAAAGTCTGATGTGATCCTGAAACCTACGTCACAAACTACAAAAGGTCTCACGACTCTCCTAAGTTCGCACAACCATTTCCAAATCCAGCTATCTTCTATATGAGGAGTGATTTCCCAAAAATTTGTTGATCCAATCTTGTTATGTTTAACCCAACCACCAGCTGCAAGGAGTAGCCAGCTCAGTTTCAAAACCAACACTTGATTCCAATCTTCCAACCGTTTCAGCCAGGGGCGAAGCCACGTTGGTGGTTGTGGGTGCCCGTGCACCCATAAAGTTTTAATAATTATCATGTTTTATATAGCAGCTATATCATTTGGCTAATTTGGCAGCGTATGCACCCACTAAATCCCCAGGTCGGAAGTTCGATGCACCCCTGTCACAAGTAGTATTTTACGTATAAACATATTTGATCTATTTTGTGCACCCATTGAATTTGCTCTCTGGCTTCGCCCCTGGTTTCAGCCCTAGCCCTCCTTCGATCTTAGGACCATTTCAGACTTATTATTCATATACGTATCTACAAGGTATACGTAATAAATTTCCTACTTGAACGTGAATTACCATCATTTTCACTTAATTAATCAGAAGATAATTATATACACTAACAAAGTCGATTCAATATCACATTTTTACTTCTTCTTTTTTTGTGCACTATCACATTTCTCCAAAATACAACGCATTATATAGTCTATACGCTCGACTCTCTCAAGAAGTTTCATATCATATTAAAGACAAGATCTCTTAGTTGGAAAACATTATAAAGTTTCTCTTCATTTCAAAATATTTGATGTTTTAGAAAGTTTATACTATTTCAAAATATAAGATGTTTTGAGGTTATAAGTTTAACTTTAATTTTATTGATTGTTCAACCAATAAGATTTTACAAATTTTTTATAATTGATTAAATGATTTTAAATTATATTTTAAAAAATATTTTAGATTAATATAATTTTTTAATTGTTGTGCATTAATTTAAAATATCATATAATTTGAAACAGATGAAAAATTTAAGATATTTGAGTCAATATATTTATTGTAAATTAGTTTTATAATAAAGCTCTATATAACTTAATATGGTATCATAGTTCATTCTAAATAGTTTAATCTGATCTAGATTGATTTGGCCAAAGTTGATGTATCATCTTTGTCCAAATATTAAGAGATTGACATTCAAATGGTCCCTTTTTCGAAGAGATTGACATTCAACATATCTTATGCACATTCGCAACCGTAGAGGATACTCCAAAAGACTACAATCCCAAGGCCAACGAACATGTGCTTTTGGATAAACCTAACGCTGCATAGCTTAATTTGTATAGATTTTCTGTTTGGGTAGGTACTATCTATGCTTTTACACAAGTTAATTAAAATTAAAAATTTATTTTGAACTAATTATTTTAGTGAAATAAATATCACCACTTCCGATAGCTAACCTTAACGTTCTAGAGAGTTTTATGGGCGTTGACAAAAAAAAGAAGAAGAGAGTTTTATGGGCCAAACGAAAAAGAAAACCATCTTAAGCATTAAACAAAGCGTAATGATAGGATTTGCAATTTTGTATAAATGTTGTTACGTTGAGCTTTAATAAATACACAGACAAGTAAGAGAAAGAGATAGATGCACATGTACCTTGTTGTTGTGTGCTCTCTCTCTCAACTCTGCCCACTCACTATAATTACAAACGTCGGTGCCAAAGTTGACAATTCTCTGGTAGCAACACAATCTGATTTATGTCTCTTTCTCTACAACAATATATGCGTGTTTAGTTAGTGTGATTAGCAATCCTCACATACATGGTGGAAATCATATCCAATGGAAATTTCCAAGCAACCAAGTTTTTTAGTCACCAATGTGGAAAACTAAATAAAAATTGATTAGATTAGCCTAGTTAGGTTAACAATCTTTTAACAAGAAAAGGGTAAAACAGGAAACACAGAAAATTAAAATATTTGTTTTGAAACTACGAGAAGGAAGGAGAAAGGAAGAAAGAAGAAGAAGGGGAAAGCAATATATATAAACAAACATAACACAAGCCCTCTCATCCACATCTCTCTCTCTTACACCCCACCCTACAGACACTCTCTCTCCCCTTTTTTAGCTCTCTCTCTCTCTGTCCCCAAATTTTTTAAATATATTTTAGACAAAAATATTGAGAATAGCAAACAAAACAAGTCAAAAAAATATTGACAGAAAAAAAAGGTTAAACAAAAGAAGGAGAGGAGATCGTGAGGGGAGAGACACAGCCGAAGGAAAGGAGAGATAATTTCTAGGGCTTGGAGAAAATTAGCGTTACCTTCATTGTGATTTTCATCATCCATTTTTCACCTGAAGGTGGTGGTTCCATCTCTCTCTCTATCTATCTCATCTCTTCATCGCTTTGTTCGGATTCCTTATCTGATTCCTTTCAAATTTCAATGCTTTATGGAAAATAATTATATTCCAATTACCTTTTCTTTTTAATTTTAAAAAATCTGATTTTTATCGGTTTATTTGTGTTCTTTGTTGTTTGGATTCCAGATCTGTGTCAAATTAGATTCCTTTAATCTCTTTTTTTTTTTACGAATGTTGATGGATGAAATAGCGATTTTTAGCAATCATCTTACGATTGTTTATATATCATTCCACCTATAATGATTTTGAACTTTGATTAACTGAAAAATTTGTTACTATGCGCATCTATCAGAAAAAAACATGTTTTTGTTTGTTTGTCTTTACATTTTTTTGTTGATTAATTGTTAAAAAGACAATAGACTTTGTAATACGTCACTCACTTTATGTTTTTGTTTTTGTTATAGTGTCTTTGAGAACGCTCATCTCTCCACAGCCATGGTGGCCACCTCAGCTACATCCTCATTCTTCCCTCTCCCATCTTCCTCACTCGACAAACCCAACAAAGTCACCTCCTCCACCAACTTCTCCGGCCTCACCCCAACTCCAAACTCTAACAGGATGAAGGTGAAACCAAACGCTCAGGCCCCACCCAAGATCAACGGCAAGAGAGTCGGTCTCCCAGGGTCTGTAGAGATCTTGAAGCCTGATAGCGAGATTTCACCACAACAACACGCACCGAGGACGTTCATCAACCAGTTACCTGACTGGAGCATGCTTCTTGCTGCTATTACAACCGTTTTCTTGGCGGCTGAGAAACAGTGGATGATGCTTGACTGGAAACCTAGGCGTTCGGACATGATTATGGATACGTTTGGGTTAGGGAGAATTGTTCAGGATGGGCTTGTGTTCCGTCAGAATTTCTCTATTAGGTCTTATGAGATAGGTGCTGATCGCTCTGCGTCTATAGAAACTGTTATGAATCATTTACAGGTATGGGTAGCTACTTTTGTTATGGTTTATAGTTGCTTGTTGTTTACTGGAGACTTAATATGTGTGTGTGTTTATGGTTATGATAGGAAACGGCTCTTAATCATGTTAAGACTGCTGGACTGCTTGGAGATGGGTTTGGTTCTACTCCTGAGATGGTTAAGAAGAATTTGATATGGGTTGTTACTCGTATGCAGGTTGTTGTTGATAAATATCCTACTTGGTAAGCTATTCTCAGACAACCCTGAGAATCCCTGCTTGTTTTTTTGTGAGTTATTTCAGATGCTCTTGCGTAAACTTGAGTATGCAGGTTCATGCTCTCACCTGTTTTTACCAGGTTTGAGAAAATAATGTGTAATTTGCTTTTGCAACTGCACAGATATGCTCATATGGCTAGTGACTTTTTACACGCTAGATTACATGCTGTGCATGCGTATTATATAGTATGCATGAGCGTGAATCATTTGCTTATTCAACTATCTGCCTCACAGGGGAGATGTTGTAGAAGTAGATACATGGGTCAGCAAGTCTGGAAAGAATGGTATGCGTCGTGATTGGCTTGTTCGGGATGGCAATACTGGTCAAATTTTAACAAGAGCATCAAGGTTAGATTTTGTTTTTTGGTTTACTTCTCTCTTTTCATTGAGTATATGCATCTTGGGGTTAGATATCTGCTAATTTAGTTATAATCATCTCTGCTTGCAAAATATTTCTTTTGCAGTGTGTGGGTGATGATGAATAAACTAACAAGAAGATTATCAAAGATTCCTGAAGAGGTTCGAGGGGAGATAGAGCCTTACTTTGTTGATTCTGACCCAGTCCTTGCCGAGGACAGCAGAAAGTTAACAAAACTCGATGACAAGACTGCTGACTATGTTCGTTCTGGTCTCACTGTAAGTTACAAACATTTCCTCTATGTCTCAACAAGCCTGTAAACTTCTGAGACTCTTACAGGTTTGGTAATTTAACTTTTTGCAGCCGCGTTGGAGTGACTTAGACGTTAACCAGCACGTTAACAATGTGAAATACATCGGGTGGATACTCGAGAGTGCTCCTGTGGGGATGATGGAGAGTCAGAAGCTGAAAAGCATGACTCTAGAGTATCGCAGGGAGTGCGGGAGAGACAGTGTGCTGCAGTCCCTCACCGCGGTTTCGGGCTGCGATATCGGTAGCCTCGGGAGAGGTGGTGAAGTGGAATGTCAGCATCTCCTCCGACTCCAGGATGGAGCTGAAGTGGTGAGAGGAAGAACAGAGTGGAGTTCCAAGACGTCAACAACAACTTGGGACATTACACCGTGAAAAAAAACCTCGCAAAACATGGATGGGTGCTTTGGTTACTTTGTAAACTATATTACCTGCTTGCAACTACTCTACTCGAAACAGTCTGGGCCACCTTTTGTATATTTTTTTGGTTCTTATTTTTCTGTGATGGAGGTCCCTTTTATTATATTTATTTGTTTTTTCTATCTTTTGGGTGCCAGACAACGGCAATAACTTTCTTATCGTATTATTTAAATGTACTTTATTTGGGGGGGGGGGGGGTTTGTAGCTGTTTCCACCTAAACAGAGACGTGGAACATGTACTTTTGTGACCTGTGAGGAATGTCATGCTTTGTATCTGTCAAAATTATTGGAACGGCTATTAAATAGACACGAACAACTTAAACGGTTTATGGTTTGTAGGCATTTGTAAAGCCATAAAGCAAATCATTATTACTAGGGACCAAAAAATAAAGCAATTAATCCAGAAAGTATATAGTCTAGGAGAGGAGTATTTGAGAAGGAAAGAGACGAGGGATAGGGTAACAATATAATATTAGAGTTCCTCTCTGTCTTGACTTTTTAGATTCAAGTCATGACTCATGAGGAAACATTACCATGCTTTAACGCATTGTCAGTGAGATGCTTGTCATTTTTTCTCTCTCATACTTACTTACCATCCCCTGGTACACCAACGAGTATTATAATTCCAATTTCAGTAGCTAATTTCTATTTTTTTTTCGACTATGAGTGGACTAAAAAAAAGTTACCAGGATAATTAGTGTTTTATGTTTACCTCTAGAAACACATACGCTATGTATAGAATTCAGTAAATGTTACTATAACAACTATCAGCTAGGATATCTGCAAAAGACAATGCTTATATTACACTTGCAAACATTCTAGTCATCAAAACAGAAGATTTGAAAAAAAAACTAAATACATCCTGTTACGGAAGAACTTTTACGACAAGTAACAAAACTATCACCATCATCTCTGGGTAGACGATCTATTTACCCACGAGAACTATCATATATCATCAGATCTCCACCAAACTATGACCTTATGCTAGACTCCCACAAATTAAAAATTGCAAACTTATTTCTCCCTGAATCAATACTTCAAAACCTAATTACCCACAGACAATGGTTTTAACTGGTTTTAGTTGGTTTATTATTAACCAAGCATCTTAAAACCAAGTAAACCAAATCAAAATCCAATTAAATCCCCACCTGAATTACCGTAAACATTCTTATGTATTAATTCTAATGGATTTATTTTACAACAGAAGAAGATTTTGTTTTATTTAATTGGATTTTGGTTTGGTTTACTTGATTTTAAGATGTTTGGTTAAGAATAAACCAATTAAAACCATCGTCTGTGGGTAATTAAGTTTTGAAGTACTGATTCGGAGAGAAATAAGTTTGCAATTTTTAATTCGGGGAGAAATAGGTTTGCAATTTTCAATTCATGGAGATCTAGCATGAGGTCATAGTTCGGTGGGGATCTGATGCTATATGATAGTTCTCATGGGTAAATGAATCGTTTACCCCATCATCTCTCAATATCTTTAGATGGCCATAAAAAATATATATATCCCGCAAATCAAGGCCAAGGCCCAATCCGGCCCAATATATTAAAGTCGGCCTTTCACTTTTATACAGTGGAAACGGTGCCCCTCCCTCCCACTCTACCTCCGTCGACTTGCTCCAACTACCATGGAAGGTGTGGCTATGAAACTCCCGTCTTTCAAATCCCTAGCTCCCACCGCAATCTCCGTCGCCTCTACCTTCTCCAGAAGACGGAGCTTCTCCTTCGTTCGCCGATCCTCTTCTCTATCCGCCACCATCACCGCCGATTCCGAATCCGTCTCTCTCGGCCAACGCGCTCGTAAAGACTTCCGAATCCTACACCAGGTATGATTGAAATCGGTTTTGACTGGGACTATAGCTAGTTGTTACTGAATCGAATTGAGTTTTGCAGGAAGTGAATGGCTCAAAGCTTGTGTACTTAGACAGCGCTGCGACTTCTCAGAAGCCTGCTTCTGTATTGGAAGCTTTGCAGAATTACTACGAGTTTTATAATTCGAACGTTCATCGAGGAATCCACTATTTGAGGTGGTTGTTAGTTTTCACTGTTAATATCACGATTTTGATCATCTGAATTGATAAGAGGTTTTTTCGATTGATTGTAGTGCCAAGGCTACAGATGAATTTGAGCTGGCTAGGAAGAAGGTAGCTCGTTTCATCAATGCTAACGATAGTAGAGAGATTGTTTTCACTAGGAATGCAACTGAAGCCATCAATCTTGTTGCTTATTCTTGGGGTCTTTCTAACCTCAAACCAGGAGACGAGGTTTGTGCCCCCTTGGTTTCTCAATAGTATCATCTAATGTTTTACTCAGAAGCTGAGATTAAGCTGATATGGACTGAACAGAATCCCAACGAGCCAAAATAGTTGATTAGTTACTACTGCTTCACAGTGTTGCTGCATTGTTTTTCTGTATGCATTAAGTTCTTTGTTTACTTCTCATGGTTTCTTTTACTTATAGCAAATGAGATTTGAATGGTGCTAGCTTTTCAGGTTATATTAACAGTGGCTGAGCATCATAGTTGCATTGTACCTTGGCAAATTGTATCTCAAAAGACTGGAGCTGTTCTGAAGTTTGTGACATTGAATGAAGATGAAGTCCCGGACATAGACATGTTAAGAGGAATGATTTCTGAAAAGACAAAACTCGTGGCTGTTCATCATGTGTCAAATGTTCTTGGTAGTTACCTTATCACGTTCTCATCATAATCAGGATTAGGTTAAAGTCTGACCTCTGTTTTCTCTTTATGTTTAGCATCTTCTCTTCCTATTGAAGAGATAGTGGTCTGGGCACACGATGTTGGAGCGAAAGTTCTTGTGGATGCTTGTCAAAGTGTTCCCCACATGGTGGTTGATGTCCAGAAGCTAAATGCTGATTTCTTGGTTGCGTCTTCTCATAAGGTTGGAATTGTTTACTTTTCTTCCTGAGATACATAATAAGCCTTGTGGCAAGCTTATAGTTAAAAAGTGATAATCATGCTTCAGATGTGTGGACCTACAGGCATTGGGTTCTTATATGGTAAGAGTGATCTTCTACTTGCCATGCCTCCATTCTTAGGTAAGCCTTCTATCGTATATAGTTCGATGGAAACAACTTTCTCATCTGCTTAATCAAGGATGAGACTGTGTTCTTATCTTTCGTTTTTGTTTCCATGATGTTTTTAGGTGGCGGAGAAATGATCTCAGATGTATTTCTTGATCATTCGACTTATGCGGAACCTCCATCCAGGTTTGGTTTCTACTTATATCAGTTACTTATTTGTATATTTGCTGCAGTTTGGAAATAAGTAGATTCGACTGTGTACCAGATTTGAAGCCGGAACACCTGCAATAGGTGAAGCAATTGCCCTTGGAGCAGCATGTGATTACTTGTCAGAAATTGGCATGCCGAAAATCCATGAATATGAGGTTTGATATGATCCAGTAGTGGACAATTAGATACAGTAGTTCACTGATGTGTGGTCAGGCGCACTTATTTTCTAGGAGGACTAGCTAAAGATGTTTTTGATGCTCACATTTACTTTCTTATGTCTTCCAGGTAGAGCTCGCTAATTACCTGTACGAGAAACTGTCCTCAGTGCCTGATGTCCGGATATACGGACCAAGGCCTTCTGAAAGTGTTCGAAGGGCTGCTCTTTGTTCATTCAATGTGGAAGGACTGCACCCAACTGATTTGGCAACCTTTCTTGATCAACAGGTTTGTCAATAAAATGGGAGCTATCTGTGCCATCACATGCTGGTTTTCTCTTATCTTCAATGAATATTTATTCTTTGGATAAAAGTTAGTTCATCGAGAAGGATACACTAACTTAGTGGTATATCTATTGTGGTATAAAAACTTAAAGAAACTATTGTATGTTGCAGCATGGAGTTGCGATAAGGTCAGGACACCACTGCGCGCAGCCACTCCACCGGTATCTTGGTGTGAATGCAAGTGCTCGCGCTAGCCTCTACTTTTACAACACAAAGGAGGACGTTGACTCCTTTATCGTAGCACTTGCAGATACTGTAAGCTTCTTCAATTCATTCAAATAGAGTGGCGGAGTGAGTACACCTTCCTGCTGGATCTCACAGCTTGTTGTATGCTATAATGGCTATTTATTTCTTATCTTCAAGTCCATAGATTCGGATTTTGAGACCATTACATTATTGGGTTTCTTTTAAACTCAGTTGTGCAATTTTTCAAAAATATGGGATCATGTTGTATTATTAAGACAAAGGAAAACAAACATGTTCATAACGTAATAAAAAGTTGGAAAGAGAGTCCGGAAATGGATTTTAACAATTATTGCATTTCAAGCTGTTTGCAAGATAGCACGCGTCTTTGTTATTTTGGATTCAAGACCTTTTCATTGAGATTTGCGCTCCCACCATTCCATGAACTTAACTTGAGCAGCCATTGTGTCCAACTTATAGAGCTGCATCGTGTGGTTCGCAACTTCTTGCCCAAAGGTCCAACCGAAAAGACCTCCTCCTAAGAAGGACAATGCAGTACCTGGCGTACCACAAGTAATATTAGAGAGGTGTCGGAATTAACAAAATAGTTAACATGTAAGCCGCTGCGTATCACTTGTTAAAGCTCAATCAAAATATATGGGACACTAAGTATACTTACTGAATATTGTCAGTTTATTATCAAAAAGATTAAATGGAGAGAAAGGGAGTTAACCATGGGGACTCCTAGAGTATTTCCAGGCAAAAGCAGCAGTAGATAGAGATCCAAGCACAGCTCCGGTAACACCAAAAGTGGCAGCTTCCCTAGCAGTTTTCAACTGGAAAAAGATGTGTTAGCCAAACTTCCACCAACAACAACGCTGATCACAATATCTTACTATAGTCTATCTATTAACTCCTGAGTTCTTCCCAAAAACTTCTTCTCTTTCACCAAATTTCTTACAGTCAAATCAGCTTTCAGGAATGATGATATATATATATATATATATTCCTATAGATCAAAAAAGCCAAAATCCTCCTACTCTTATTCATCAATGATTCACCATCAACATTCAACACCAAAATTTATCACACGAAAGAGAGAAGCAATCAGTCATAATCTCACGAGGCAACGAGACGCACGGCACGAATATATGCAATTCCACAGACAATAGATCAAACAACAAATCATACATCAGTACAGAGAGAGAGAGATAGAGGGGTATACGGTAGGTCCATGAACGGGATCGGAGGCAATAAACTCGTCGACGTCGGAGGAAGACCAAGAAGGAAGAGGCGTATCTCGTTTGGTGAACCTCGTGTAATTCTCCAAGAACGACAACTTCTCCTCCCAGTACCCCTTCACCCCATCCACAAATGAGTTCGAATCTCCCATCTTTGATTTCTTCACACTTTCTTTTTTTTGTTTCTTTCTTCCTCAGATCGAAATCGATTATCCATCCCTACAAACAATTGTTTTCACTAGTCTCCCGATATCCTCTACGCCGCTCACACAATCAGTTCAGTACACCCACTAATAAAATAAGCCCACGTGTCCAACAGCTATTTTAAATTTATAATCTATATTATAATATGACTAGGAAATGAACCGAAATAACTCAGTTTTTAACAACAAAAAAATGGATACTTTATATACATGAAACATTATATTAGTTTCCATAATGTATTTTTGTATAGCAACACATATTTATGTTTCAATGTGATATAAAAATGACTGTTATTACATCTCTATATATCAAATGTAAATAACATATATATATATTTTAAACTATAGTATGAATTTATTATTTACAAATACTTTTAAATAAGTGCAAATAAATAGAAGCAGTCAAACACATATGATTTTCGATATGATAATTCATTATATTAGTTAAGGTAACTTATACGACAAATAGGACAATCATGACTTGTATTCAACCATGAAAGAAGACATTCATGATCGAAAACATGAAACATGGTAACACTAATAAATTTTCTTTATCAACATAATCCTCTTGGCATATCACACACATCTCACTTGATCCTTCCTTATCTTTATCTTCTATGTAATAAATTTCTGTCAACGAGTTAATTGCATCCAAAGAAACTTGTTTTTGTTGCACATTCACCAAATAAAAAAGAATCATTAATTGCTTATTCTTCTCACCTATAGTTTGAGCTTCCCTCCTCAACTCCTAATATTAAAGATAGTGTAATAATTTTTGTAGGTGAATATTCAATAGATTGAATAGGTGATCTGAATAAGATCCTTCAGAAATGTATTTGATGCCTCTAATCCAATTTCTTCACTACCTAATGAGTGAATAAATTCTTCTTTATGTATGGAATCACCTTCATCTATTAAATCTTTTATTTTAAATATAAATGATTATAATATTGGTATTGTAGCGTAAATGTGGTAGATTTTACAATTTATAAAAACTATATCATTAACCGTATTTAATAAGAGTTCATCAATACTTAAACTATAAGAAGATGTTATAGTGTTCGTCATATTAACTGCAAAATACAAATAGTGTAATTATTAAAAATAATAGATTATTGAATAATGAATAACACCCATCAATGAAATAGTTGTTACATAAATATTATAAATTAGCATTATATATATATATATATATATATATATATATATATATATATATATATATAATTGATAGGATCTACAGCTGATGCTCTGATTAACAGAACTGTTTTCTTCAAGCATTGGCTGAAACGCAAACGCACAGAACACATACCTATCCACAAGCCTTCGACAACATTTCCCTCGCCGCTTCGATGCCTTGCTCAATCACAAAATCGTGAGTTTACGGAGGAAGAGAATCCCTATCTTTGTCTTCTGAAACTCGATAATGACCATCGTTGTCATTACCTACCAACACCGAACCGTTCTGAGATATCAACAAATCACTTGTACAACAGTATCGGTTGCAAGGAAGTGTCTCATTCTTATCAACCGCTGCGCAGACATAAAAGCAGTCCTCGAAACAAACCTCCCCAAAATTATAAAGCAACTCCGAACATCCCAGACAGAGGAGATAAACATCCGGTTTCCACCACCGTCAATACTTTAAGGAACCTTTACGCGTGTTCCATCTGCCATAAAGTGTTTTCAACGGGTCAAGCACTCGGTGGTCACAAACGATGTCACCACGAAAGGAAAAACGGAGGCAGTGTACTAACCAAATCGATAAGCCAGTTCAGATGCGTGTCAAGCACACTTCCTAAAGAACAAAGCAACCATGACCTCATCGATCTTAACCTCCCGCCGTTACCAGAGATCAGTTTCAACACAACACCATCGTTGATGAAGGAAACAATTTACTTCCTACATGAGTTATTTTCACTTAAAGGCAGATTTAAGTCTTTTACTACATTATAGAGCAGTTATTGCTCCTAAGATAGTTTTTAAAACTACAACCTAACTATTGAGTAACTATATGGATTCTTGTAACTAAATGAATTTTACAATTTTTAAATTTTTTTCTCTTTCTTTGTAACATAACATAACTTTTCTCTCTCTGTTACAATAGTTTTAATGGTCAAAGAGGATGAAGATGAAGAATCTGGGCGTTCGTCACTTAAACATAAGACCATACATGTGTAAAAGCTTCTCATCTTCTCTTACTTCACTGAATCCCATATCTGTTATAGTCTACTTTGTCATCTCCTCCGACACGTTGATTCTCGTTATCTCTTTTTTTTTGCGTTTCAACAATATTTTCGGTGTGGTTACTTCATCTCTTTCGCCATCATGACACTGTAGAAGACTTCCCGGCGATGGTGATTCCTGGCGAAAGAGAATTACAGTGAATGCTTATGAGTTTACTTTGGGCCTTTTTGATCTGTTTTTTTTTCTTTATTTTGGATTATAATTTGATAATCTATATAATATTAGTAAATTTTAGAGATAAAACACAAAAACAATGAAAATTATATGATAAAAATCAATGGCCGTTCTGTGTTATATTTTCAAAAACGTAGAAAACCCTACTAGGAAGAAGATGAACTTATTACAAAAGTGTCATTCGTAAAAAAAATTAATTAGATGACCACGTGGATGTATACATAATGTTGGTGTACACATATTCGTGTACATGGATACATTGGATGACCACGTGAATGTGTATATAATGGTAATGTACACATGTACATCTAAAGAACATGTGTACACATGTATTGTATACAAGTACACTTTGAAATTAATGTACATATGTCCACTATGAATATGTGTACACATGTATTGTACACAAGTATACTTTGAATTAATGCACATAGTGGTTTGCTTATATCTAACGAACACATGTATTGTACACAAGTATACTTTGAAATTAATGTATATATGTCCACTATGAAATAGACAGACGTGTACATATGAGCACTTAAATGTTATTATTGCATCTTAATTAGTTAATTTTAGATTATTTAAGTAGCATTTAATTGTTAATATTGTATTTGCATAAATAATTGCATAACCAGTGTCTGGAATGCATATATGTGTACATATTTATGTGTATATGTGAAAATGTGTATATGTGTACATGTTTATATGTGTTTGTGTGCATATTTTCACTTATGTAATGTATATCATTAAAGTAATGTACCATACACATGTGAAGATGTATACATACACACATATATTTGTACACATGTGAAGATGTATGCATACACACATATAGTTGTACACGTGGTTTACGTGTATTAAACAATATGATTATATATGTACATGTGTACTTGATTACATGTGTACAAACACAACATGTGTACCTCTTTTCATATACATATACATGAAATATGTAGGTTTTCCAATCTAGAGTAGTATAAGTTTACCAATAAATATGTACATATACATGATTGAGCCTGGTTCAACTTAAAGTATTATCAATGTGTACATATAATGTACTATCCACATGTACAAAAATTCATATTTACACCTGTCAATTTTATATATAAAAATAAATTGATAATAAAACAAGTGACTCGTAAACCTCTGTCTTTATTTCCTCCATGAGCGCCTCAAATCACCATGGGTCTCCTATTCAACCTGACTCAAGCTATCCACCACCGAATGACGATTAATCACCACTGTACACAAATGTTTTATTACACACATGTACAATGATTCGCATGTACACATGTTAACTTGTACAATAATACATAAACGTCATATAACTTCACTATCTTCATATATGTATACATGAAACATGTAGGTTTCCCAAGTTAGAGTAGTACTAGTTTACTAAGAAATATGTACATATACATGATTGAGTTGGATTTAATAGGATATCCATGTATATGTACATAGTGTACACATATGAAGAATACATTGTTTTAATAATAAAGAGTGTACACATGTACACATTTACATGTACACATATAAGTGTACACGTTTTGCTTTTTTTTTTAATGAGTGGCAATTTTGTAATTAAATCATCTTCTTCTTATTAGGGTATCCTGCGTTTTTGCAACTAAATTTCAGAGCCGCCATTGATTTTTTCATGCAATCTTCATTTTTTTTGCGTTTTTAGCTCTAGAACTTAAAAATATTGTTCTAACAATACTATTAGATCTAAAAACCAAGCGAAAACAAGTTTTTTTCATAGTTTTCAAATTCTGATAGATTATAACCAAAATACCATTGCTCTTCTTCGCTAAACATCAACCTTTCAAAATAATAACAGCTTAATCTCTTGACTTGAACAGATATATGAAAAAAACAGAACTGTGAAAGAAGAACATGACAACTATGGCACAGAGAAAGCACACATATTGGTAGGAATTAGATGGGTAGAAAGAAAAAACAAAAGAAAAATATTTTTTTTTGTTTGGTGAGAAAACATAACTTTTGGAGAGAGAATGTTTTTTGTTTTCTTATTAGAACCACTTTAGTTAGATAAATAAGTTTAATTATAATGGTTTGGTTTATGGTTGCAAAAAACTACCTCAGTAGCATAAACTGTCTTAATATGTAAACAAAATTTTGAAACTGTCCTACACTGTAAATGTATCCTACATTAATCAATTAACACTATTAGATAATAATAAATCTCGCTAAGTGATGGTACACCATTATAATGGCTTCCAATATATTTTATAGTTTTATGTTGTGTCCAACTGTCTTTTCTTGGATTCCATAAATACTTTTCAGGAAATTATACGTAACTGAGGTTACCGCCTTCGAATTCTGTTCGTTTATTCTAAACCTAGGATTAAACGGCCTTTCTTCAATATTGACTTTGATAACTAATGGATTTGACATGTGTATAAGTAACCTTTCAACGTGCAGCGATGATTTACATATTTAACGATCGTGACAAATGATACATACCTACAACCAATGTTTAAGAACTCGCTAGGCGTTAGTCGGGCGCTCGGGTTGGGACTAGCGCCTAGCCGATTACTCGGAAACTAAGCGGAGATTAATCGGAGATTGATTTTTAAAATATTTAATATGAAATTATAGATAGATACATTAATGCAAGTGCAAATGGCAAGGAAGAATATCTGGTCCAGTGGTTTGTGTGGTATATCCACCTGTTGAAGGTGTTGGGTTCGATGTTTACATAAATCATTATATCATTTTGTTTCTATTAGCGCCATTTAAGGAAAAATAAAATAAAACATCACATATATTTGTCCCACATCGGTTAGAAATGAGTAGGAGAGTTTTTGATCTATCCTATAAATATATGGACAAGCAGTGTAAAATTCTTTTGGTTCAAATCGGTTTCACACCGGTTTTAAGCGATTAGTCGGTGTTTTGACTGATTAATCGGTAAACCGATTTGTTGGACCGACTAGACCCAAATCGCGGCGTTGCCCTCTCGCCTAACGCCTCCTCGACCGTTTAATCGGTCAGGCGGGCGCGTTTTAGAACACTGCCTACAACTCAGATAATCATCTATCTCATTAATAGGTTTACCATCTACATATGTAATAAACACACTTGATACGTTTGAAGACAACGTATTACGTTGAATGACTAATATGTTTCACTTGCGAATTATGTTTACCAAACATTTACACATATCTTAAACAGAGAATTTGTAACAATGTTATATTTGAAAAACTTTTCTACAACACACTTTATATATATATATATATATATATATATATATATATATATATAATGAATAGACATAATAAGCAAGGGATACAACCTTTCATTATAACTATCAGACACAGATTTTAGAGATAATTAAATTAAACATAAACAGTCACGTTTTTTTCATAAATAAATTATAAATCATTGTAACCTTTCATTCATTTAATTAAAAAAATATTCTAGATACCTCACAAATTCTTTGTAAACTATACGTTCTTCACAATTACTATCAAAATAAGACCCATAATTTACCCCCACGTTCATGTGGCACAGTTTTTCTATGTACAATTTTAATTCTCTCATTGTAAGCTCTAAGGAAAGTGATGGAAGACTTCTATAACATTTTCTAAGTTCAAATATATTGTTGCTGTTCCTAATTTCTTTAATTAATGCAGAACCTTGTTTTATGTCACCATCTCCAATAAATTTGTACCTAATATATACATGGATTTTGAATGCATATAACTTGCTGCATGTTTTAATCTTTTCAGCCCTTTAAATTTGTCTCTTTTAAAATAGTATTTAATAATGCCCGATAAAAACAATGCTTCAACATTGTTGTTGCAAGCACATTCCTCTAAGAACTTAACATGCCTTGAAAGACATACCCCATTACATGGAGCCTTGAAAGTATTATTTATTTGAAGATTTTTTAAAAGGAAAGATGATTTTGAAATTTGGTTCATTTCTTTATTTACTAATTTACAGTTTTCAAAATCTTTACTTGAGTGATCAAAAACTTTTAATAAAATTACACACAACATCTCCCGGTAGATCCATTTCAAAAATTTCTGTTTCAAAAGTGGTGGATGAAAAATAGGATTTATAAACAAATCGATGACTTCAAGAGGTATGAACGAAAGGGTATGTAAGTTTATATAATCATTAGTTTATATAAGAAAATATTTGTATTTACAGATTTGGAAAATAAATACTTATATATAATAGCCTTTCTCGTTGAACAAAACAAGAATTTTGGATCTTTAACTGGCTGATTGGTATTACTCCCTCTTGGATGTTTTGAAGGCCAAATTTTACCTTCATCTATTAACCTCTTTCGTTTCCTATTTGCAAAAAAAAACATTTAAACATGATTTTGCAAAGAAAAATTTAAAAAGGGAAGATATGGGTACAGTTATAGTTGTTAATTTGGGAAGATATGTTATGAAAAGAAAAACGTAATCTGGAAAAAAGGATTATCTCCATGATGATGTTTTGGTGTCGACATCCACGTCCATTAATTATTCTGAAGGATAAATGATTTGCATGCAGATGAA